AGAGGCCCATGGAGTAGTAAAGAGAGACGTAAAATCAGTGCTTCTTGCATTCACTGGACTTCTAGGTAGGAACCTAAGACAGCCTTTGAACTCAGAGAATTAAGTTGATTCTACAGAATCAGTAGAGAAACAAAATTATTATGAGGCATCTGGGTGTACCCAGAGGGTCAAGCTGGCTCACTACACTCAGAGGAAAGGCAAGATGGGCATATAACCAGATTGTGATCGGTACCATCGCTACTGGAACTCTATGCTGGCTGCTGAAGATGAGGATGGAGCATGCATGGGAATGCCCTTAGTGCTGTGATGTCAGTTCTTGACTCAACTCAACTCAACTCAGAGAATTAAGACAACATGAACTGCTAATCAGAAGTGTTAAACTCTCATATTAAAGCTCTAGACAACATGAAGACAGACTATAAAACAACTATATTAAATTCCAAAAGTAACTGATAAACATAAATATGCAATATTGAAAGAAAAGAGTAATGTATCCTAATTAAAACCCCACGTTCGGAGAAGAACAAACAGAGAATCATCAAACGGGCAATGAAATGAGAAAGTGATGATCAGAGAAAAAGAAGACATCCAAGAGATTTTCCAAGGTGAACACTTCTTCTTCTTCTTGTCACCAGCTGTAAACTCTGGTGGAAAGTTCTGGTTGTTCATCCACTTCTGGACTGCAGTCCTGTTCCAAAACCTGAGTGTTGAGTGTGCATCCGTTTTACAGATTTGACTCATTTGAGGTGAACACTAATGAGGCAAGTCAAAGGTACTGGTCTGGATTCCATCCATATTGTCAAAGTAATTGTACAGGGCAGAAAGGGATGGACAAATAGACCCTCATGAGACCTATGTGACATACAATGACACCACAGCACAATGAATAAATTATGACCCTGAATGACTCAATGGGATATTTATACTATTACTACTGCTAGAAGCTAGGACAGGAATGTGTGAAGCTGTCATGCTAGAACTAAAAACTGCCCAGAAACCACACCCGTCAATGAAATATTAGAAGCCCCAGGAAAAGTGTCAAATGATGAAAACATTCTTATTTCTCTCAGTTAAATTATTTCATAATTTTTAATAGTAAAATGTGATTTTCTCAATGAAGGTGATGAATTAGTTGACAGGAATATTACCAACTGATGAAATCTTACTGGCCGCTCTATCAAATAATATTTTTAAAATAATCTTAGAAGTTAAACGAAACTTGCTTGATGATGATGATCATTATCAAGATTATGATGATGGGGACAATTGTGACGATTAATTAAAATAAAAGCCAATTTTACTAAGACAAAGTTCCAAATTTAACTGGCTAATGAGATCAAAACTGGTTCTATCACCAACTTACTTTCTTCAAGTTTAGTATGTATGGAGGCAAGCTGAGATTTGTGAACCATCTGTTCACAAGCTTTCATGGCACCGTCATAATTTGTGCTGGTCGCATTTGTAGTTCCACCGACAAAGTAACAATAACTCACTGTCACAATATAAATAAATTATCAAGGTTATCTATTACACTAACAATCTTTAAGGTTTTCTCATTACTCCCAAAAATAGTAATTAGACAGCATGAGTAAATGTGTAAAGTTAAAACCGACAGGATTGATTTCATTGCACTGGGTTTTACCCGATAGGGCTTGGTCTCTCTCCACAGAATGGGTGGTGGCCTGCCGAAAGTACTGCAGAAAGCACAATCGCTGTAATTCCAGTGATGACCCCCAGGAATCTCTATAAAAATTCCACCCCTGAACTGAATGATAAATGATCACACTATCTTCAAAGCATGAGGCAAACAGCTTGACATTTTGCCACAGACAATTCCAAGTAAGGTAAAGGACCCTTTTCCATGTCTATAGGCGTATTAGGCATAAAGGGCCAGTAGACCTATATGTTATAGATGAATCATCACTGAGTGGGTGATGTGGTCAGCATCACGCTGACCGCCTTTACTTCCCAGGACTGTACATGGTACCCACTCAAGACTGGGTCGAGCTGACAGTCAATGTAATGTGGACCTGAACCTACAACATTGCAACCTGCAGGCAAGTATCTAGCCCAAATAAATGTGGAAATCTACAATTATTGATTGTTTAATAAGCAAGCAAAATAGCAAAGCAAGAAAAATGGCAGGAATACATAAATGCGTGACAAATTACAAAATCATTAAAAAATTATTAATATATAAAATAAGTATGCTACAAAATCTAATTTTGTAAAATTAAATTATCCAAAATAGAATACTAAATTTAAAAGATCAAACAGGAAAGAAAGAAAAAGAACAGAGAAGTAATTCATCAGTGCAGAACATAAAGTATATTATAACTACAGATTACAAGCTTCATACACAAACAACAATTTCCATTAGGTTTGTATCACATTAGGAAGATAATGTAGAGAGTGTGTAATGGTACGGCTGAATTAGAGGTGCAACAATTGATACATAAAACCAAAGGCTAGATAATGCAAAAGTGTATATTATAAGTATTAGCATGTCAACATTACCAGTACTCACATGGATATACTGTTTGATACATGCAGGAATGTGAGGAAATCAAATAGTGGATTGTCTGGCTACAAAAGCGAAGGTTACAGGAACACTCGTTTTGGACAAAAGAGGCATTTTGAAGACCATTTATGAACTGACACTGATAGAAGATATGAAATTAGATGAAATAAAATGTGTAAGAATGTTTGAAAGAGGAATTAGGAGTGAAGATGGCAAGAAGGAATGTATGAGAAGAGAATGATGAGTTTATAATAGTGTGCTATGGAAACAGTTAGAATCTAAGACATTTGCTGTGCAAGATGGAGCCCCTGTGGGTATGCCGGGTGTGCCATTATGTTGATTCTTGAATCAGTAAACACAAACTACTTTTACATTTTCTGCAACATTTGCATTTTAAAAAAAAACCTAGGTTTTTTAATCATCTAAGTTTTTTAATCCCTGAAGAATACAAGAAGTGAAACATCTAATTCAAGAAATTCACATGAAAGAAAAAAACTTACATGACGGAAGTGAGACAAAATTTCTAGGACATCCACCGGAAGTATCGGTAGGAGAAGGTTGAACAGATACAAAATTTCCTGGCTTCTTCTTGCAGAAATATCCAAATTTTTGTTGGCATTGAGCATCATTCCATAATCCTACAAACATACAGTAGACAAAGAAATGTTGGCCGATTTTTGTTAAGAGAAATGAAATTCTGAGCAGTTTTTGCTCTTTACGTTAATCTATTTGGTAAAAAAACATTTATAAAAAATAAAACTTCAACAATAAGGATAAAATTACTAGAATGGATTCCACATTATCTTCTTTTTTTTCTTCTTTCTGTTTCTTCATCTTCTTCATCGTTATCTTCTTCTTCTTTGTTGGCTTTTTCTTCATCATCATCATCTTCTGAGTCAGAAGCAGACATCATATCTGTAAGCCAATCCACCTTAACAAGTTACTTCATTGCTTACATTTATAATAATTTCACAACATGATTATCAGTTATTTAAAAAGTACACTTAAAATAAACCAGATCTCAGCAGCTTCTACATATCTGATTTTAATGTGATTCATCAGAATTGCCTCTTTAGCATACACACAGCTCTTGACAACCAGGAGAAATCAGTGTAGAAACTGTTATTTTAAAACTCCCAAAACAACCCATAGTCACGTAACTTTAATTTGAAATCATTCAACCACAGAATTTACCACAATGAAGCAAAACAAATGAATGTGAATGGAATATATAAAGCTGAAAGTTTCGACCATCTTAACTCTTTCAGTCCCGGGGGTTTAGCATTAGAGGATCAAGGGGTGGTATACAGAAATGTATAATCAGCATATCTTACTCTCACTGGGTTTCTAGGTAGGAACCTATGAATGTATGATGCGTGCCTTGAGACTGAAAGAGTTTTTAAAAAACATATGCACACACACGCACACACAAATAGACAACACAAACATTGTGAGAATGTGCAACATTTATCTCACGTCTGGAATATTAAATCCTAACACACCGGGAAGGCTAACCTGGTCAACAAATGCCCGCAGAAGTGGGATGTGTTGGCCGAAAGGTGCAAATATCACAGCCATGCTGTAAACGGACACAACGCAATTACATCTTCGGATGTACACAGAAGAAGAAGAAGAAGAAGAAGAAATCCCAACACAAGTGTGTGAAAACTCTTACCTCTTGAACTTATTTCCACACACTTCTCTTCACCGTATGCATCATTTGGTTCATTTGCATTCCAGGAAACATAACTCAGTGGACTGTTGTCTGTCCATCTAATGACAAATAAAGCATGCCAGAAAATATATTTCAAACTGTCAGTCATTTATGTGCAGCAATTATTTATTAACATATATAAAGGTTAAAGTTAAGAGGATTGACTTCATTTATCTTCTTCTTCAGCATTCTGATCCCTTGAGGTTCATTGCTGCAGATATCACCCCTTTCCATTCATCTCTCTGGTTAGCCTTCTCTTTCTAGTTGGTAACACCAAGTGTTTGCAGGTCTGTCTGAATATTTTCTCTCCGTCATCTTCTTGGTCTCCCTCGTAGTCTACGACCATTCAACCTTCTGGTGTGTACAGTTTTTACTTCTCTGTCATCTGACTTTCAATATGCCACAACCATTTCAATCTATTAACTCTCATGATGCCAGTGATCAGTGGTGATTTAAACAGATTATGAATTTCGTTATTGCTTCTCACTCTCCATTCACAGCTGTTTGCATCTTTGATATTTCCAAAGATTCGTCGTAAGACTGTTTTCGAAAACCTGTAATAAGGCTTTGACTTCATTGCCCCAGATTTTATCCTATATGACTCGGTCGCTCTTTGCAGAGTGGCTAGCTATCTGCTGAGAGCATCACACAAAGCAAGAATACCATAGCTCCAGTGATGATCCCCAGGCATCTCCATTAAAATTTTCTTCAAGAACCAAACGATGCAGCCATGAAATAAACCCACAATATTCAGAGTACGAAGCAAGCAGTTTGGCCTCTTAAATTTATTAACATAGCTGCTGCTGAGGTCACAAGACCAGGTGCAAATTTACACTGGCTAGGATTTTAGGGCAGATCTTAGTTAAAAGTTATTTGTGTATCCTTTACAGGACGTTGCAAAAACAACCCCCACATCTTTTTTGGCTGTTGGGGTTTTTCTAGGCAAATTTTACATTCAGTAGTTTGCCATTGCTTTCTGAAGGTCAGCTCTGAATACCACTGTCAAAACCAGTGCAAGACAAATTGGTCACAGCTGGGATCGATCCTGGCATTACGAAGCGTGCTCGCAACGCCTAAGCCGCAGATCTAGTGGTGTGGCCTTTTTGCAGACTGAGCTCCTGGTCCATCTAATGTTCTAAGGATCAGCGTGTGAGCCATCTGTCCCCTCCGGGCTGCTACCTAAAGGTCTGAAACCCTGAGATCACAAGATCTTAATCTGGCCAGAAGACCAAAAGGGCAAATTTCCCATCATGCTCAGGTCTTGTTGTGTTTTAAATGTAAAGCGTAAATCAATCGACATTCCCAGAGACATCAATACGGACACTTCATTTGCGTGTAAACAGAATAGCATTTTAAAGAAGTTGAGGGCTAACTGGCAATGCCAACCTTCTCCCCTTTCTATGTTTACTATAAATATTGTTGCTGTGGGCATATTGTCTAGTATATGAAAATATGTCGGGTTAATTATAAACAAACATCATAGCACTTAGTACATTCCCACAAGTACTCAATCCTCAACTTCAGCAGCCAGAAAAGTGCTGTTGGTACCAGTAGAAGTTCAATTATTTGTGTGTCTTGTCTTTCCTCTGAGTGTAGCGTGTCTGCCAGATCCCCTCTGGTAACTCCCTGGCCAGCCATTCACTACACACAGCAATGATCTATTCAAGCTTCTGCACTCCTCACTTTCTCTTGAAGGGCCTTGATCAAATCTATCTTGTCATGCATCAATTCACACCCCCCCCCCTCCCCCTTTCTCCCTTTTTCCCTTTTTCCCAATGGTGCAGCACTAGCCAATCTGTTAACCTGTATCTTCCCTGAGAAAAGATCTGAAATAAACTACTGGACATTTCTGAAGCAATGGTGGCTACTCTGCATGCATTTGCCTGTCTCAGCATGGTTTGTGAGTCTGTTACAATCATAGCAACCTAGCTGTGACCGGTACCATCAGTACTGGAACTCTGCTCTGGCTGCTGAAAATGAGGACAAAGCATGCGTGGGAATTCCCCAAGTGCTGTGATGTCAATTCTTGACTCAACTCAACTTACAATCATAGCAGGTGTAGGCAGCTGGTTCTTAAGCCAGCGGAAAGTTACTATGACAGCTTCACCTCTATTCTCAAAGCAGATGAAAGTAAATGTTTACATACCCAAGGGTCTCCAGGTCAAGGTCATTCAGCCCAATCCAGAAATTATTGATGGAAATTTTGTTAGCCTACAAATATATAGGCAAATTTGTTAGCCTACAAACATTATGGCAATTTTGTTAGCCTACATTCAAGCAATTTTATTAGCCTACATTCAAGCAATTTTGTTAGCCTACAAACATTCCGCAATTTTGTTAGCCTACAAACATTCTGCAATTTTGCTAGCCTACAAACATATGGACAGTTTTGTTAGCCTACAAACATATGGACAATTTTGTTAGCCTACAAACATTTGGACAGTTTTGTTAGCCTATAAACCATTGGGCAGTTTTGTTAGCCTATAAACCATTGGGCAGTTTTGTTAGCCTATAAACCATTGGACAGTTTTGTTAGCCTATAAACCATTGGGCAGTTTTGTTAGCCTATAAACATATGGGCAGTTTTGTTAGCCTACATACATATGGACAATTGTGTTAGCCTATGAACATATGGGCACTTTTTTTAACCTATAAACATATGGGCAGTTTTGTTAGCCTATATACATATGACAAATATTTCTTTCGTCTAATGCAATCTATATGTCAGAAAACACTAACTTTTTCAGTACTACCATGTGCCATTTGAGAAACTTACTTTTTTTTTTCTTCATGCTCACTGGCTGTAAACTCCTGAAAAAGTTTTCGTTGTTCCAGAACTTGAGTTCAATGTACACATCAGTTTAACAGATCTGACTTATTTGTATGCAGATTGTTGGTTTCAGGCCTCTAAGGCAGATTCACTATGATTTTAAAGGAACAACCCTGAACAGTCAACTTTTATGACACGCTTATTAAGGGGACGGTGGGTCTCTCCCCTTCCCCACAAATATACACACACACGACCGTCTGCACCTTTCTGTCTTGTCAGGCCATGGTTTATGGTTTACATAATGGATCAACATCATGGCACAAGGGTAGTAATCCATGAGTTCTGCGTTCTTCTTTTAACTCTAGACTGAGTCCAAAGAATCTCAGCGCAGTGCATAAACTCTGTAGCACCGGCAAGGATTCCTAAATACTTTGGGTAGATTTTCAACCTGGGGTAGGAGCCTGTCCTACTACTAGGCGCGTCCACCAGGTGGCGGATGGTGGAAAGGCCTCTAGATATAGAGGTTAGCCACGAATATATTGAATAAGTGGCCGTGGACCAAAACAGGTGATGGTCATTGAGAGGAGGCGAGTTAGTTGGTGGGACAGCTAACTCTATAAAATACCTCAAAACTCTACGTCATGGCCATCGGCGGGTAAGAGGCGCCATAACCTCTCCCCCCTGCTGCCTTGCAGGGTAAGTCTTTTTAGACAAAGGCTATTGGAGTTAAACCATATACAAACCGGCTGAAGGCAAGGGGAAACCACCGCTGTACTATCCCAAGAAAATCATGCCTCAAAATAATACGTATTCAGATAACGACGTGAATGGGGATTCCGGTGGAATCACCTCGTCCGGTAGGGAGCATCATGTTCTACGGGTGATACCCGACCGTCATCCAGCTACTGTAGAAAAAGTAAATGGTAGAAACATCATGAACATTGGTACATGGAATGTCAGAACACTCGTGCAAAACGGAAAACTGGATAACATCAAGATGGAAATGAAGAGAATGAACATCAACATACTAGGAATTAGTGAAATGAGATGGCCAGGAGCAGGGGAAAAGTATTCAGATCAGCACAGAATTATCTACTCGGGAGTGAAAGAATATAGCAAGGGAGTTGGTATTATTTTGGATCCAAAAAACTCAAAAACTGTTAAAGGATTTTGGACAATATCAGATAGAGTACTATTAGTAAAACTTCGCGGCAGACCGTTTGACATCAACTTAGTACAGATTTATGCCCCAACAGCAGATAGTTCAGAGGAAGACATTGACGCATTTTATGATGAGTTAGACATGGCTGTTGATCAATGCAAAAATTGTGAAGTAACAATGGTACTTGGAGATTTCAACGCAAAAGTAGAAAGTGAAAAAAGTGTACGGAATAACGGGTGGATATGGACCAGGAGAAAAGAATGTGAGAGGTGACAGATTAATAGCATGGGCTGAGTCGCGCAGCATGATAATAGGTAACACCTGGTTTAAACACCATCCTCGAAGATTGTGGACTTGGAAAAGTCCTGGTGATAATGTCCGCAATCAGATTGATTATATTTTGATTTCAAGAAGATTTCAGAGCAGCTTAGTTGGAGCTAAAACTAGACCAGGGGCAGACTGCTTTAGTGACCATGTTCCAGTTGTAGGAAAAATTAGAATAAAACTAAAGAACATTAGAAAAACACCACAGAACATCAAGTTAAATTTAGGAATTCTTAGAACAGATAAAGAAATTAAGGAACAGTACAACGTCACTGTACAAAACCGGTATAATGCAATGGAAATTATACAAACAATTGATGAACAGTGGGATATGTTGCGTGAGCAGACTTCAAAAGAGACAATCCCACCAACCCATACAGTTGCAAAAAAGAAATGGATGTCAACCGAAATTCTGCAGTTGATGGATGAAAGAAGGAAGAAAAAGAATGATAAAGAAGAATACTCTAGAATACAAAAAGAAATAGTGAACAAATGCAAAGTGGCTAAAGAAGCCTGGCTGAATCAAATGTGTACAGAGATTGGGGAAAATCACGGGAAAGACTCACATTCCATGTACCAACAGATAAATATGTTAACAGGAAAGATGACACGTAACAGCACTGGATGTTTGATATCAAAGGATGGTGACTTATTAATGGGACATAGTAATATAATTAACAGATGGACAGAGTATATAGGGGAATTGTATGATGATAATAGACCAGACGTAGAACTGCAGAACAACAATGATGGTCCACCAATAATGACTGCAGAAGTTGAGGATGCAATACATCATATGAAGAAAGGAAAAGCACCCGGGCCAGACAACATCTCACTGGAAGAAAATCGAAGCACTGGGAAATTTTGGAATTGAAATAATAACTAAACTTTTAAATGATATTTATAACAGTGGGTATATTCCAAATGACCTTTTAAAATCCATATTTTATAGCTCTGCCCAAGAAACCAGGCACTTTAAAATGTGAAGACCATCGCACAATAAGTCTTATGAGTCACATGACTAAGATTTTACTGAGAATAATTATGAGAAGAATAAGAAACAAAATTAAACCAGAAATCAGCGATGAACAATGTGGATTTGTAGAAGGAAAAGGTACAAACAATGCCATATACATCCTAAGGACATTGTCAGAAAGAGCTATAGAAGTAAAGACTGATTTGTACTTATGCTTCATAGACTATACAAAAGCATTTGACTGTGTGAAGCATGAAGAAGTAATCAAACTGTTAGAAAAATTAAACATTGATGGGAAAGATCTAAGAATAATAAAGAATATGTATTGGCAGCAAACAGCCGAAGACAACTTATCACTGACATCAGAGGGAGACAGTCATCATTTTTCGGCCATGTTATGAGAAGAAGGAAAATAGAACATGTTGTGACCACTGGAAAGATCTGTGGAAGGAGGGATAGAGGAAGACAACGAGAGAAGATGCTTGACAGTCTTGTTGCATGGCATGGAGGTGTGTCGGCACACGAACTGATACATGCTGCAGGAGATCACGGATTATGGAGAGGCATGATTGCCCACGCCAGTCGGCAGGGCACCTGATGATGATGATGATGAGATTTTCAACTCCAAATTTTGCCCAGGCAGCACCGTTAGGCTACTCTTTTTGATTTCCAACTGCCAAGGGATTTTTTTTTACAAGCCCCGCAAAACACACGGGCGTCTGATCTGACTACCCAAAGACCGGGGGAAATTACTAGAAGTGACATGAAAAATCCCAGCCTTCACCAGGGCCTGAACCCAGGACCTTCAACACTCGAGGCGGGTGCCATGCCTCGAGACCACCCAGCCCCCTGCATAGTTAGTGGGCTAGGGGGAGGTATGGGAATCACATGGCAAGACTGACTAGCAATACTCGCCCGTGTTTTCAAGTATTAAACTGTCTTTTCAATTAACTCATATTTGGTCTGAGTATATTTGAACATAGCACGTACTGCTTCCGTGAAAGTAATTGACTCAAACTTTGTTTTTTCAATTGCTTTTTTGGTCATCACTTCTGTACACAGTTTATTAACATCAGTCTAAGCTAATACTTATTGACTAAATACCAAATGTAAGAAAAATAACACCATACATGAGGATAATTGTAAACCATATGACTAAACACAAAAAGTGAAAATAATAATACAATTTCTGACAGAGGATAATGTGTAAAATTATGACTAAACAATTTATGAACAATAGCATCATATATGATAGAATCCTGTGCGGGTTCCAAGGGTCCGTTGTGGAGAAAACAAGAATAGACAAACTGGCTGCCCAAAAGCAGGTCGTATGAGTCGACTAAACAGAAGCTTCCTTCAAAGTCAGTGTACATCTGTCTGGGACTCAAGGAACCAACAGTCTACATACAAATGAGTCAGACCTTGAAATGGATTTGCATGCAGTACTCAGTTTCTGGAACAGGACTAGAGTCTAGAAGTGGAGGAACAACCAGAACTTTCTGCCAAAGTTTAAAGCCAGTGAAGGCCAACCAAAACAAAAACAAAAAAGAAGAAGGTATTTGATAGAGGATAAAGTGAATACTTGTGATGATAAAGAAAGTTTATAGATCATCATCATCATCATCATCAAATTCATCATCAATTTCCACTTTTGTCATTAGGCATCCTGGGCAGGAACAGTTTGTGATACATTGCTTGATGGGTAACGATGGCTAATGTCATTCTGTGTTAATGTCAAGGACACTTTTCCATGCCTCCATGTGTACTTGGCACATAGGGCTAGACCTATTTTTTATAGACCAATCAACACTAGGCAGGTGACGCTGACTGCCTTTACTTTCCAGGACTGTACCCGATACCCATCTAAGGTCGGATCAACCTAGGAGTCAGGATCATTTTTTTAAATATCTGGCTCCGTCAGGACTTGAATCCACTACCTTCCGTTTGGCAGGTGAGCATCTAGCTGCTACACCACTAGGGCAACCTCTTGCTTTCGCATCAGATCTTTTCACATATAGCACCTCGTGTTGGTAGTTGTTCTCGCTGCATTGTACCAAGATGATCAAACCAATTGATCTTTTGTTTCTCAGTAAACTTAGTGGATGATGTTATTCCCACAGTCTGTCTGACAGTATCATTCCCAACTTTGTATTGGATGGTTAATTAAGCTGCTTTCCTCAGGCATCTAATTTCACAGATGTTAACTTTACAGTGGTTAATGTCCATGTTTGGCACTGGTAGCACAGTCTTGGTATGAATATGCTGTTTATAATCTGTTTCTTGGCAGTTATAGTTTGGATGTCTTAATAATGGCGTCAGATGATATATAAGTGTCGGCTCTGTGGCTAAGTCGATGTGAACGCTTCATAATGCCGGGATCAATCCCAGCTGCGGGCCTTGGGCCTTGCGTTGGTTTCGACAGTGGTATCAAGAAAGCTGACTGTCCAGAAAGCAATGACAAACTACTGGACGTAAATTTGCCTAGAAAAACCACACAACAGCCAGGGGCTGTTGGGGTTGGTTCTGCAACGTCCTGTAAAGGATTCACAAATAACCTGATATATAAGTGAAAGTTTATGAAAAATAACACCAGATCTGACAGAGGATAGTGGTGAAAAAGTTTTTGCTCACCATCATAGTCAGAAACCCATTTTCATCACTGCTAGTAATGCTAGCCAAGTCTGCACTCCTATCCAGACACTGCTGGCGTGCCTCAAACCATGTTGCCAAGTCACCGACGCCGAATGCAGGGCCCATGTAGTAGCAGTTTCCGTTATACATTATCCAGGAACTGTCACCACACTGAGGTGCTGTGGAAGTTTTTAAAGATGCAGAAACTTTCCCATCAGTACACTTTGTGACAATCAAAGAAAACATTTAAAACATTTCTTTTTCCCTGCATAGGGAAATGCGGACCAAAGAATAGACGACCCACTGCCTCCCTAACAAGCATGTCACAGGAGGCAACTCATTATGGATGTTTTCTTCAAAGTCAGAGGGAATATGCCTAACAGGCAAGAAACTATCCATCTGTCTACAAATAAACCAGATCTGTAAAACAAATGTGCACACAAAACTCAAGTTCTAGATTTAGACGAAAGTCCAGGAGTGGACAAACATCCAGAACTGTCCATATGAGTTTACAGTCAGGGAATGCTAAGAAGATGAAGGAGAAGAAATTCCTTTGACGCAAGAACATTAAGCAGACAAGCATGCCTACTTTTGCAGATAGGCTTAAAGTTCTGCAAGTAAAGACATCCCTCAGGGTAGCTGCGGACAACAGGCACCTCCTGCCTGAAGCCCTGGATAGAGCTAAGGGTCACAGACTAAAACGAGGAAAGTCTTGGATGGCGCAAGCAAAAGCTACAATAGGATATGCGTGCAGGCTTGATAAATTTAAGCAAGGAGAAGAGTGGGTTAAAGTGTCCGATTATGTTTCAGACTTGTGTAGAGTTCTAATCACTTTAGAACGTGTGTGCCGGGACTGGCCAGCTGGTGCTGCAGAATCAGAAATTCAACAAATGATTCATGACAATTCCTGCCCAAGTGATATGATTGTATATACAGATGGTTCTGTGTTGAGGGGCAGACAAAGTGCATGGGGGTTAATAGCAAAGGCGAATGGACATCGCTTGGCATATGATATCATGTCTAGTTTGAGAATGGAGGAGGAGGCAGTCACTGCTGCCTACCGCTGGCTTGAGAATCAGCCATGTTGTCATTGTAACTGACTCACAGAGCATGCTGAGAAACGTGAAGACAGGCATGCTCCGTGCAGAGTGGCAAGTATCACTTCAGAGGTCCCAAGTAGTTAGCATCATTTGGATATTTCCTCCAGGTTATGCCGGTGTGTTGGGAAATAAACAGACAGAAAGACTAGCCGGTTCTGCACCACTTGGTGGTGAACTGATGTATGACACGCTGGACATTGTAAGGGCCCTTTGGGAGCGAGTGAACAGTGCAGAGGAACAGATAGATCATTACGGTCAGAGGAGAATGGAGCTGTGAGGAGTTACAAGGTGATCTGGCCGACGCTCAACACTTGGGGAAAGGGCGAGATGGATATACAATCAGACAGTTACTGGTACCATCGGAATTTCAACTCTTTGCTTGCTGCTGAAAATGGGGGGGGGGGCGGAGCGCTTATGGGAGTGTCCTGAGTGCTGTGATGTCGATTTTTAATTCAGCATTCAATATTCAAGATGCATGAAAAACACCAGCTCATAGCAAAGATGTAGTTATTGAGAAGAATGCAGAGAATATTATTGAATGATAAAAAAAAATGAGGCTGTCCTTCTCAAGACAGTTGATAATCATAAATTTATCATAGAAATTGGGGACAGACATTCAGTTTGTTTCAAACATGTTATGAGAGTGCATGAATGCCTAACTTGGTGACAACTGGTAATATTGATGAAAAAAGAGCAAAAGGAAGGCAAAGAAGGCATACCTGTATGGCTTAGCCATGTGGATGGGGGTGAGACAAGAATGTTGTCCTGTGATTTTGGTGATCGGGTGAATTGGCAAAACACAACAGCATATGCCTATCAGCACAGCACAAGACGATGATGTTTATGGTAGTGTAAGGAGTGTCAATGAGGCATGATATGAAATGTAAGTGGAATGTTAGTCTTACAATATTTAATATCCTCTCATGTCCAGGAAAATTATCTTAAATAATTCTGTCTGTATCTGTTTTTTTCCCCCTATTTGAATACAGTAATCAGCGTAATTTCCTTGTTTTGATTTGTTTGTCAAAGTTGTTAAAAGCTGAGGTATACTTTCTGATTTTCAAAACTGTCCATTACTCACACACAAAGTATTCCTCCCATACAAGTTTAATCCCTGTTATCTCTAGTGATTCATTTGAATTTTCTATTGGAAGGCTGAATGGGACAGTTAATGAACTTGATGAGAAATATTTCCCTCAGCCAAATAGACACCCATGCTTCTACTGAAGAGGTGCTGAAGCTGACACGTTTCAAGAATGTGTATCAGAAACCACAATATTCTCTGAACCTAACTTGATTCTACAGATGATTACACATTAACTAATTCGTAAGTTGGGGCTCACTTTGTAGAGCTGTGCCAATTAATCTGCTTCCTTGGTGTCAGGAATGTTGCAGCAAGATGGTATTCATTTAATCCCAATGAAATGTTTGGTGCAGTTTTTAAAGAAGAGAATAAGACCTATTTGTCCTCTGGTTCTAATTTATTACAGGGTAATTTTTATTGAGAAACATCAGTAAAAACTACTTTCTCTTAAAAAAATTTCAAAACCTTATACAAATTACTTACTTATATAGCCAGTTGGAGGTGGATGGGCTGTGGCAATGACTGATCCTAGTAAAAAGAAATATATTTCAGTGTAAAATGTTTTGAATAAAGGAAAGATATTGGCTACTGCAAGAGTCCATTTGTGAAAACAGGACTAACACAGAAAAGATTAAAACCCGGCATTGATACAAGACAGATGTCTAAAATCTATTTTTCTTTGCACGCATGGCAGCTGCAAATTTCAGCTAAAAAATCATTTGTTCGTCCATTTTTGGACTTGTTCCAGGACTTGAATGTTGAATCCACATCCATTTTACAGATCTGCTTATTTGTGTGCGGACTCCTGATTCCTTGCCTCTCAGCCAGACACACTCCAACATCAACGGAAACATTGATCCTATCTACACTGTCCAGGTTCCCACCTGTTTCTGGTAGGTGTAGACACGTCTTCGCTAGCATGAGCCCTAACCCTTGTGCACCACCAGATGTGGTCCAGCACCTGTGCATCCCATGTCTAAGATTATCAGGTCAACAATCTTTCTTTTTCTTCTTCTTCTGCTTCTTCTTCTTCGCGTTCACTGGCTGTAAACTTTGGCGGAAAGTTCTATTTGTAAGTCCATCTCTGGACTTGAGTCATGTTCCAGAACCTGAGTGTCATGTGCACATCATTTTACAGATCAGACTTCATTGTATGCAGACTGTTGGTTCCTTGCTTCTCAGGCATATGCACTCCCACCTTTCCCCCACAATGGGGCCCCAGAACGCACATGGGTTTGGTCAACAATCATAAATCAGGACATTTACTTAATTTTTAGTCCCAGATAGTTTTTTTTAGCAGATGCTCAAAAGGGAAATCAATTATTATGAAAAATTATGACCGTATTATTTCAAAGAAAACACATACACAGTTTCATTGTGTGTTGTTTAAGGGTTATAAAAATAGTTTTGCAATTTTGGCAGACTAGTTTTGATTCAACTACAGGCAGTTTAGCAGCAGACTACGTTGCATTACTTTGAACAATGATGTGAGGATTGACAGGCCAGGTATCAATAATAAACTACAAAATATAAATAACATTACTTAGTAAAACAACAAATAGCAAACTACTCTAAGTGTTGATATGCAATGTCTTTTAAAAGATAATAGAGACAGTAGCAGTGGCAGTTTTCAATGCCAGATTTATTTAGTTTGCTCTGGCCAAATGTAAAAAATCAAGAGAACACATTACTCAATGACTGGGATATGTGGTAGACATCCTATTTCACATCAGGCATGGCTTGGAACTTAAAGAGTCAGAGACAGCAAGCTGATATGCTGTGTTAACAAAAAAAGGTATGTATCAAACATTGAGTAAACAGAGAAACTCAGCCCAGACATGCAAACGGATACCAACAGTTCTGTAACGACAGTTTCATGTTAGTAGGTAAATACACCAGTTTCTTTATTTGTTAACCTTAACACACAACTTCTTTTTCTGCTGTTTTCACAATTAACATGACGGTTGGCACATTTTGTTGTAATTTACTACTAGGTTGTGTTTGCACATTTTGGCCCAGTACATCCACATTTTTGCAAATCCTTAACTCTTTCAGTCCCAGGAGAATTGCTCAAGGAAGTAATAGCCACCGTAATGAGCACATTACTTTCAAAGTGACTGCATACATTGGAAGCATCCACTGTAGAAGCTAGATTTTCTTATATGCCGTTATGCTATGCCAAAATGTAAAAAAAGTAACCAAAACATAAAGTGCTTTTATGGATATCAAGGGAAAGACTTGCGTTCTTTAGGACTGAAAGAGTTAATTAGTCACCTTTCACATATTTATTAATTAGCAGTGGGTCTGTCGCCACACGGTAAGGGAGATACTAAAGATGGGACCTGATCACCTATGGACTTGTCCAATGTGTGATGATGATGACTGGTTGATTAACCAACTATATTTCTATAGCAAAGAGAAACAAACTCAAACCTCTCGGTACTTGACAGATATAACTGTAAGGCATGTAACAGTAATCGTCATTCCAAGTATTTAATGGGACGATCCAAGCAACACAGTCTTCTCTAAAATGTCAGAGAAAACATGGTAGTCAGTCAGAAATATTTGTTATTTAATAGGATATTCTTCTTCTGCATTCACCATTAAAAGTGTGGTTGGCACATTGTATTGTTATTTACAGCTAAACTACAGTATCTGCTCCTTTTGGCCCAACATCCAATTTCAGCAAACTCTTAATCAGTCACCTTTCACAAGATGCATGTTAAGGGGCAGTGGGGCTTTCCACAGCCCCCCCCCCCCCCAACCCCCAAATGGAGCCCCAGAAGTTAAACAGGGAGATAAGATATGATAGAATTATCTTCTTTTATTCTTCTGTCAGTGCTGCTGCAGTCTCCTATGATAAATCTCAAATACTCTCTATCCCACTTGTCATGTGTACTCAATCTTCTTTAAATAAATACATAAATTATTTACCTATTTATTTAACTTGTTCCTATTTCTCCCCCTCTTTTCCCCATATTCCTTCTTCTTTCATTACGTAGTATAGCCCTTCATATCCATATTTTTCCCCTGTTACATATTTCTTTGTTTTATGTTGACCTTGGCTTTATAGAAGCTCTATTGTCTTGTCTGTTGAGTTTTTCTGTCAAAGTCTGTGTTGTATTTAGTACTCTACTGTTAAATACTGTGTTAAAATGTTCAGTTGTATTTGTGTGCGACTTCTCCTTCCCTCCATTGAACTATCTAGTCACATTTTATGTTATTTAGCACTTCCGTTTTCTTTCAGCCATTTACTAATGTTATCTGCCAACATGCAAAGACGTCTTCTTCTCACCTAATAAATAAAAAATTTTTAATGTGCCATCCCCACAAATAAAGTTGGCTCATCATCATCATGAGCCCTGCCAACTAGTGGAGGCACTCATGCATCTCCACAGATCACGATCCCTCTTTGCCTGGAACAACTTACTTGATGATATCCCTCCATGCCATCATTTCAGCCCATCCAGAAGCATTTCAGGGAGTCGTCCCTTTGGCGTAGTGGCTAGACGCTCGCCGCGGATCGGAAGGTCATGGGTTCGCTCCCTGGAGGAGCCGGACTTTTTTCAAAAATACCCTGGGCTCCCAGGTTGACCCAGCTTTGAGTGGGTACCTGGTGCAGGCCGGGGAAGTAGAGGCGGCCGGCGTGATGCTGACCACATCACCCATCTTGTGTCGATTGTCTATAAAAATATAGGTCTAGCCCTATATGCCTAAGGGCGTGAAAAAGGGTCCTTTACTGAGTAGCATTTTTCTTGGTCTACCTCTACCACCGTTTTTTCACTGATCTGTCCAGTTGTCACGATGTTTTCTAATGTCTCTCTTCTCATTATGTGGCCAAAGAATAGTGTTTGTCTCTTTCTTACTGTTGTTATTAGAGATCTACTTTCGTTAGCTTCTTTCAAGCAATCATTGTTAGTTACTCTGGCAGTCCAAGGTATTCATAACATTTGTCTCAGAAACCACATCTCTGTTGCCTCCAAATTCTTCTTAATTTGTTCAATGATATTCCAAGTTTTGCTGCCATACAGCAGAACAGGTTCTATGTAACATTTTAGCACTCTCTTTCTGACATTAAATGACAGCGATTTATTGCATAAGATATTTTTAATTTTCTGAAATGCAGCTTTCGATTTACCTATTCTGCTTTTAATCTCTGTCACACATTTTCCATCTGATGATAAAACTGTTCCCAGATATTTGAATTTATTGATTTGGTTAAGTTTTTTCCTTCAACTGAGGTTTCACAATGTGGAGTTATCTTCTTCTTTGATATAACCATTACTTCTATTTTCTTAATATTCAATGAAAGTCCTTTCTTAGCACTCTCCATCCCCACAATATCCAGCAGTTGTAGATCAGTTGCATTTTCAGCTATCAGAACTGTACCGTGTATGGGGTCCACTGCAGGCCTTCAAAAATAGGAGGTCCCACAGGTCTTATCTGACTGGAAGCCATTGGCCTCAAGGGGTTACCCAACGGACATTTTTAAAATGTTGAGAGTTTAAATTCATGTCTCTGTTTCAAAAGCACCCATGCACCAAACAAATGAACACACACAAAAAAGGCATTTGATATTAACTCTTTGAGTCCCAGGGGGTTTAGCATCAGAGACCCAACGGTTAGTCAAAAGAGATGTAAAATTGGCGCACCTTGCATTCATTGGTCTTCTAGGAAGGAACCTATAAATGTATGATGCGTTCCTTGGGACTGAAAGAGATAATGAATTCAGCCTCATCTTATTCATAGTCTGTGCTCACCCTTAATAAAGCAGTTAGCAGAGGATCCCAGTTTACGTGCTATCTGTGCTTTTCAACCCAAGAGATTCAGCAAGTCTCTAATTGGTCACTTTTTATGACATGCTTATTGGGCTGAAGTGGGTCTATTCTTTTTTTCCCTCTCGGGACCGAAATGAAGAAAATTTCAGCTAAATCTAGCAGCAAGATGGTTACCTGTCTAATTTGTTATTTGGTTCATTTGGTGACCAGTTTGCATAAGTGAATGGAGAGTTGTCTGCCCAGGCATATCCTTCAAAGAACATAAATAAATGTATTAAAACAAGTGAACATAAACTTTTAAAAAAATAAATTATAAAATATCATATTTTTCCTCCCTATCCTAAGTTGAAGTTAGCTGTGTATCCTTGACAGGAAGTTGAAGAACCCAATCACTTTTTGGCTGCTTGTGATTTTACTAGGCAATAGTTAATTTCAGTAGTTTGCCATTGTTTTCTGAACAGTCAGCTCTTGATACTACTGTTGATACCAACGTAAAGCAGTCTTCTGACAAATCGCATGCAGCTGTATCGAACCCTGCACTTTGGAGTCAAGAAGCACTTTGCAACTTTTTCTTCTTCTTCGTGTTAGCCAGCTGTAAACTCCGGCAGAAAGTTCTGGTTGTTCATCCACCTCTGGACTGCATTCCTGTTCCAGAACCTGAGTGTTGCGTGTGCATCCGTTTAACAGATCTGACTAATTTGTATGCAGACTGCTGGTTCCTTGCCTCTCAGGCAGATGCACTCTGACTTTGAAGGAAGCTCCCAATAAGTCCACTTTTACAAGATGCTTTTGGGTAGGCCGTGGGTCTATTCTTGCTTTCCCTTTTATTGGGTGCCAGAACCCACATGGGGTACTTTGCAACTCTAAATTACAGATCGAAGTGTAGTGACTTCATGACACCAGGTATTATCCCATTATGACTCAGTCTCTCTCTCTCTCTCTCTCTCTCTCTCTCTCTCTCTCTCTCTCTCTCTCTCTCTCTCTCTCTCTCTCTCTCTCTCTCTCTCTCTCTCTCTCTCTCTCTCTCTCTCTCTCTCTCTCTCTCTAACTGCCTACCAAAAATGTTGCAAAAAGCACAAGCTCTGTAGCACCAGCAATGATTAGCAGGGATCTCTATAAAACTGCACTCCTAAACCAAATGGTGTAGTCTATGAAATGAATAATCTGCACTGGTTTCAAAACAAGCACAAAAAAACACACACACAGAGATACACACACACAGATACACACACAGATACACACACACACATGCACAGACACATACACACACAAAAACAGAGAGAGACAAAGAAAGAGAGAGAAAGAGAGAGAGAGGCTTGAGCGAAAAGATTTTAGATTATTTGTATCAATATTTTTGCCTATGGTACAACACTTATAAAGGTAAAGGTCTTTATTCTGGGCCTTCAGGTATATTGGGCATATAGGGCCAGACCTACATTTTATAAACAAACTGGTACTCGGTTGGTGATGTGGTCAAATTATACCGGTCATCTTTACTTCCCATGACTTTACCTGGTTCCAGTTTAAGGCCGGGTTGCTCCATGAACCAGTGATCATTTTGTAAATGCTAAATAAGAAAATCAAGAATTTTGTATTTAAATGTTGCAGAGCACTTATTGAATACCATGGACCAAAAAGAAGAAATATTCTATCAATCTACAAGATCTAAAAATATTAATAAACTGAGATAAAAACATAATGTCTTGGAATCTAAAATACTTCATCTGTGTTGAACACTTAAAGAAAAATACTTTTGCATAAGGAATTTGACCAACTGACAAAAAACAAGAAAGGCGAAGAAATAAGAGAAATATGTGGACAACCACTACTATCAACAGTTATAAGACAAAGTAGATGGTAACATATTGGGCACATCCTGAAGGAAAGCGAACAGAAAATTAACAAACTGCACTTAAATATGAAACAAATGACTGAGGTAACAAGAATGTCTAAAAGAAGTATTTAAGACAAACACTGATTAGAGAGGCCAAGAGATTCTGTCCCTGAAATTAAAACTATTGCATGAGAGGACTGACTGACTTTCTACCCCACTAGGACATCACACAAGCAATAAACACCCAATGACACAAAGTGCCACCATATGGATAAGGATTACCGTGGAGAGGTCCCAGAAACCGCGTTCAGACAATTGGCCATATTTATGGCCTGCCTATATTGCGGCCCCTGGCAAAAGCCACAGTGGGGCTTCAAATAACAAAAAATTACGTCCTAAAAAGGACGTAAGGAATCTGACTATATTGCATGAAATAGAATATAGAAGAACAAATTGTGAGCTCAGTGTGGTATACAAAAGAAGAACAGGATGATGAAGATATTAAACACTACAGTGGTTTAAGAAGAAACAGTGATGAAAGGCATAGCTTCTAGAAGTGGAGGACATGACTGACCACTATAAAGATGGGCGCAAAGCATTCAAGATACCTTGAGTATGAAAATGTAAAAGGCAGGAAAATTTGCAAGGTAACAAAAATCTTACTATTAAGACATGATGGGTGTAGGACATACCGTTAGAGTTTTATCACAGCCAACTTTCAATGTGGAGATGCCATATGATAATGCTTACAATTATACTGAGAAAAATAAAATTATATGGTCAATTTCTTCTAAAATAACACCAGATACATACTCAGACTATTTCTGCTCCTTGTTTTATACTCACCTCCTTCAGAATCTCTGTCATTCAACCCAATCCAAATTGTTTTCATTGTTGGAAATGAACTGAGAATATAAGAAATAGATAACATCAATCAAAGTATACTCCTAGATATTGAATACATTTTTTTTAAAGGAAGCAAGAAAAATTATAATAGCAGCAATAAAACCGCGGATGTGTTGACTATTTTCACATATTCATTATTATGTTTTCTTAGCTATCGTTTCATAGTGTTTATTAACTTCCCTTTAAAATTCCCCACTCATTCTTCTTGTCTACATTCACCCTTCAAGGATAGTTGGAAGGCTGTAGTGTGCTTTACAGCTATTTGGCTGTGACTGTGTTTTTTGGCTCAACAAATCTGATTTCAACAAATCCTAAATTAGTCACATTTTACAACATGCTTATTAAAGAGGAAATGGGTCTATTCTCTCCCCACAACACAGCTCCAGAACTCACAATGGATGATTTATTCATGAGGGGTATATAATGTACATTGGCTATAATTTTTGCTCACCTGATCGAGGTATTCACAAGATAACTACAGGTGTTATTTTCACCCCGCAGAATGTTAATATACCTGTTTGTTAAATTTCATCTGACTGAATGTTTGTATTTTTCAACTGCAACACTCACTGCATATATCTTCTGCTTCATCTTATATCCCACATACCTGTTTGTAAAAATGACCTATATTAACTCTCACCTTAAAGCAGTCTTAAGCAGCCAGGCCTGTGTGGCATTATCAGCGACTGTGGCCAAAGAACCTCCAGGTGCTTGGTTTGCACAGGTACTTTGTGCACCCGCCCATGTTTGCTTGTCCATTCCAGTGCCAAAAAACTGAGCAAGTAAATAACATATTATAATGCACTGCCAGATTGTAAAGAGTGGGCTTTACTGATCACATCACTGGCAAAACTTCAAAATGAAGAAATTTATCAAAGAGTAATATTTACATTATATGTGGATTTTGATTTATATGGTCATCAAGAATTATTAGTGGGATTGAAAAAATGCTATTACAGAAGAAGTGTCTAATGGATATTCTATTCCCTTTTTAGGATGTTACTGGCAAAGGATCAGTGATTACTACAACTATCTGTTAGAATGTTCTTCATTATAAAGCATGATTCTGCATGTTGTAACAACTGGAAAGAGAGAGAAAGGTCATTCTCTTGACAGCCTTCTGTCATGGCCACCCAGCCCATGAACTGAAACATGCTGCTAGAGATCACACATTACAAAGAGATATTACTGCCCATGCCAGTCAGCAAGGCACTTGATGATAATGAGAATGTTAAATTAAAACGAACGGACAGTAAGCGGGCATATAAGATTGGCCTAACTTGGAAACAAAATGTCTGAAAAAAAAAAAAAAAAAACAGTAGCTAATAATATCTGGAATTGTTACAACTAAGCATAAATTACCACACAGCACCACTTTGGAGGCATCTAACTATCGGCATACACACAAAAAGCAGTGCTATTCATACCAACTATCAATGCTAGATACGGACAGTCCTAGAAAAACATAATTGCAAAATTATAACATGTGAGATAAGATTTATCAGAACTGTAGTGGGAAAAACAAGAAAAGAGTTGCTAATGAAAAACTAAGAACAGAAGTTAACACAGTACCTGTAAATTATTTTATAGAATATCAAAGAATCAAATGCTTGGTCATCTGGTCAGAATATAACAAAATCAACCAGAAGCTAGAGCATACTATATGAGAACAACAGGCTACAAGACAAGAGTTGGAGGGAGTTAAAGAGACACTACAGAAACGCAATATGACATTAACACAAGCTACACAACTAGCAAAAGACAGGAAACTATGTCTAACTGCATAAGCAGTAGACAAAAAGAAAAAGAAAGACGCTTAAAAGGTAAATATTTAAAGTAGAAAGGAATAATTTTATTGCATGGCGGTTTTATCCCATAAGGTTTAATCTCCCTGCAGAATGAAAAGCTGCTTGCCAAGCGCACCACATAAGGAGGAACGCCTTAGCTCCAGTGACAATCCCCACAGAACTTTGTAAAACTTAACTCATGAATTGAAACATCACTTCTGTTAAACAACCCCATGTGGGTCATCTAGATGAAGATTCCACATCAGAACATTCATTCCATATTAGCTCCATCTCCTTCTTGAAAAGTGAGTGAAGAGTATCAATACTGATAATATTTAATTTCATCTGGTTAACTACTCATTTTGCCTTTCCCCTGAATCTCAAATGGTGTGAAAGCTCTCACATACACTCCCCAGTGCATCATTCTCTCCAGTTAAGGGTTTTCATAATTGTCCATTTTACTTGTTACTTCATCCCACAGGTGAGAGATCACCTCTGCCTTGTGCAATTGCCTGCTCATTTAAGAACACGCATGGCTCAGGCAAAATATCCAGGTGGCTCTCTCCACCTGTGACCTCTGGGCTGACGTAACTAATCCCATACAAAGAAAACCTTCCACATTCCTGAGCATGCTTTGCAAATCTGATACTTTAACAACATGTGTGGATGAGATTTCCTCCATCCATCAGACACAATTACCAACTCAACCTCCATTTTCATGCTGAATGTGGTAATGTCATTCATATGCCAAGCTTCTCAGTCGTCCTTCTCTCCCATGATTTTGCAATGAAGCCTCATCCACTCTTTCCACTCCTGGCCACTGACCCATCACTGTAAATAATCACACCTCCTGGCTTATAGTTGTCCTCTATCGAGAATTGAACCCATTACCTTGAGAGCATGAGAAAAACAGATTGACACTACCATGGTAGAAATAGAAACTTACATTATAACAGTTGCTCCCATAGCCAAGCCAGCCAGATGGACAAGGCTGCTGGATTGTGACTGCTGTTATTGGAACCTGGGTAGAGAAGCCAGTTCGTGTGGACTCACAGATGTAGGACATTACATTGCTGCAAGGGTAGTTTTCCCAATGTGCTGTGGTGCCATTTTGGACTAAAGCTACACAGGTTGACTTTTCATTGCCTGTTGAAAAATGGTGAATCAGTGAAAAGGATTAAAAAGTCTGTCAGAAGAGGTCAATCAATCCACACACAAATGGTCAAAGATGAGAAATGATCAGTGAATGGAAAATAAATGATCACTCAATGAAAACTGATTTATCAGTCAGTTCAAACCGATCTGTCGGTAGATGAAAATGGTCAACCAGTGAGTGAAAATTATAAATTAGTTAGTGAAAAATGATCAGTCACTGAGTATCTATCAGTCAGTGAGAAATGATCAATCACTGAATGAGAAATGATCAATCAGTAAATTAAAACTGTCAGTCAGTCAATAAAAAATTATCAGTCAGTCAATCAAGTGTCATTTCCAAGAAAAAGGTTAGCTGTAATATATCTTCAACACCATCTGTCTCTTACTTTAGCTGTACAGACGATATTAATCCATCTATTGATACTTTTTCACTTGTAAAATTGTTGACTATTTCCTTGCCTTGTCTTCCACTTTTCCTTCTTGTATTATTTTCATAATAGTTTACATTTCTTTTTCTTCTACCCTTTCTCCTGCTATCATGCATAGGCCCTAATCTTTAGAATTACTTGCATAAATAAACAGAGGGGGAACCCTTGAGGCCATTTCCTTTTTAGAATTACTTGGACAGCCAGCAAAAAAGAATAACCCAGATGTTTTGAAAAACTAGAACATGTGACCACTGTAAAGATCTGTGGAAAGAGAGACAGAGGAAGATAATGGGAGAAGATCCTATACAGCCTTTTATCATGGCATGGAGGGATGTCAACACATGAAGATATACAGCCAGTTGCAGACCACAGACTGCGGAGAGACATGATCACCTATGCCAGTCTGCAAGATACCTGATGAGTGGTGATGAACTACTTTGTGATATTTCATTGACGGGGCATCGCCGTGGCCGAGGGGCTAGACGCTCATCGCAGATCAGAAGGTCATGGGTTTGCTCCCTGGCAGAGCTGGACTTTTTTCAAAAATGACCTTGGCTCCCAGGTCGACCCAGCCTTGAGTGGGTGCAGTCCCGGAAAGTAAAGTCAGCTGGTGTGATGCTGACCACATCACCCATTTTGTGCCGATTGGTCTATAAAAATATAGGTCTAGCCCTATATGCCCTATATGCCTAAAGGCGTGGAAAAGGGCCCTTTACTTTTTTTTTTTTTAATTTCATTGACAAATATGAATTATCTTGATTCATACGTGCAGTTTTGTGGTACTTACCTGTGTGGTTCTTCCCCCAGTACGTCAGAGACACCACAGGCCAATGTGACTGCCAGCCATATGTAGAATCAGTCTGTGATAAGCCAATCCAGAATGCTTTTCCTATAAAAGTGCTTAGCTGTGCTGTCAAAAAGTCCTGGACATGCCTGAATAATTAAAGAGCAAGAAATAGGAACTATGGGGAATTTCCTTTAATGAAAACATGACCTGCTGCCAGATACACTTATGACAACAGGGAGTCTCAGTACAGGGAATCTCTAAGTAGTCAAGCTGTTTGCCATGAGCTCTGAAGGCCATAGGTTCATTTCCCTTGTGCCATTCAATTTACAAGTGCAGTTTCTATTTAGATCCCCATGGGGTCCTTGAGGAAGCTATGCAATTTGTGCTTTGTGTGACACTTTTGACAAGAGGCCAGCAATTCTGCAGACAGAGACTGAGCCCTAGGGGATAAATTCCAGTGCAATGAAGTTGATCCTCTCACCTTTGACCTTTAACTTATCAAAATAGAAAACAAACTGGGGATAGAAAGCTCTAGAGAACTACAGGGTAGGATGCAATGCTATATTACAGGAACAAATGTTTGCATACAGGATTTAAATATATCTTAAAAAGCACTTCACAAATAGCTGCCCTAACCTTAATCTTTGTGCCAGGTCATGCAGGTGTTCAAGGGAACGAGCGTGCAGACTATCTTGCTGACAATGTGGTTGTTATGACTGGTCCAGTACTGGACAGAAGTGATGTTATCAATGTCATGCGCTGCACTTACCATACCGAAGAGCACGCCAAAAGACATGACTCTGTATCCTTGTCTAGACTGATGGATATGGGAGTGCAGCCTGAAGCTGCAAGAAATGAACATTTCACTAAGGGAACAAGACGTTTTATTAAAAAACACAGAACAGGCCTCATCAGTTGTTTTACACTTGTGGAGCTTTTGAGGAGGAGATCAGAGCACCTATGGATCTGTCCGGCGTGCTATGATGATAATCCTTTCTAATCACTAATCACTAATATATCTTAAAACAGAATAATTGTATTCCACATCACTATAAATCAGTGGTTTTCAAACTTTTTTCAAAAACTGTCAGGTACTGTCTTCTGCTCTCGTGATGTGTATTGTTCCAGAACTTGAGTGTTGTGTGCACATCCATGTTACAGATATTTATGCTTATTTTTATGACTGTTGGTTTATAATCTCTCAGGTAGAGGCACTCTAGTTTTAAAAGATTATATTTTAAAAAAGTTACAGAAAATATACTGATCGGCACTCATAGAAAGAAGTAGAAAGATAAAAGAACACACTAGACAACATAAAAATTGAAGCTATAGTTACCGTGCCAGGAATCAAACCTGTCACCCCCAGACGGCATGTGCGCCTCGCTATGGAAACAAGTGCACTAAGAACATAGTTAACTAGACACCCAAATAAAAGGTGTCTTTTTGGCCATGTTTATCGTACAGCTTGAAATCCACAACCTTGGAATATGGACAGAATTCATTTCAATCCATTGAAATGGCACCATAGGTTACAGAAATTTATATTCATGAAGCACATGTCAAATAACAGTTTTAAAGGAAACACCCTTAATTTTATGACAAGATTGTTAGGGAGCAGTGGGTCTATACTTGTTTCTCCCCCACAATGGGGCCCCGGAACACAAGAAGGTTTCATAATGAAAATATATTTCACATACTCGCCATAAACTGTGGCCAGATTCCCCCGATCTCCTCTTGCTTTGCAATCTTGCTCAGCATCAGCAAAATTTCTGGCAGTGATGATGAAGTTGTAACACTGTGTCCCATGACCAAGAGTACCCTGTGTTTAAAAACAAACAAAAACTACTGTCAGATATTATTTGTAATTAATCAGTATTTTTAAGCAAAAGTTAGTTTAGTTAGTTAGTTAGTTAGTTAGTTAGTTAGTTAGTTAGTTAGTTAGTTAGTTAGTTAGTTAGTTAGTTAGTTAGTTAGTTAGTTAGTTAGTTAGTTAGTTAGTTAGTTAGTTAGTTAGTTAGTTAGTTAGTTAGTTAGTTAGTTAGTTAGTTAGTTAGTTAGTTAGTTAGTTAGTTAGTTAGTTAGTTAGTTAGTTAGTTAGTTAGTTAGTTAGTTAGTTAGTTAGTTAGTTAGTTAGTTAGTTAGTTAGTTAGTTAGTTAGTTAGTTAGTTAGTTAGTTAGTTAGTTAGTTAGTTAGTTAGTAGTTAGTTAGTTAGTTAGTTAGTTAGTTAGTTAGTTAGTTAGTTAGTTAGTTAGTTAGTTAGTTAGTTAGTTAGTTAGTTAGTTAGTTAGTTTAGTTAGTTAGTTAGTTAGTTAGTTAGTTAGTTAGTTAGTTAGTTAGTTAGTTTAGTTAGTTAGTTAGTTAGTTAGTTAGTTAGTTAGTTAGTTAGTTAGTTAGTTAGTTAGTTAGTTAGTTAGTTAGTTAGTTAGTTAGTTAGTTAGTTAGTTAGTTAGTTAGTTAGTTAGTTAGTTAGTTAGTTAGTTAGTTAGTTAGTTAGTTAGTTAGTTAGTTAGTTAGTTAGTTAGTTAGTTAGTTAGTTAGTTAGTTAGTTAGTTAGTTAGTTAGTTTAGTTAGTTAGTTAGTTAGTTAGTTAGTTAGTTAGTTAGTTAGTTAGTTAGTTAGTTAGTTAGTTAGTTAGTTAGTTAGTTAGTTAGTTAGTTAGTTAGTTAGTTAGTTAGTTAGTTAGTTAGTTAGTTAGTTAGTTAGTTAGTTAGTTAGTTAGTTAGTTAGTTAGTAGTTAGTTAGTTAGTTAGTTAGTTAGTTAGTTAGTTAGTTAGTTAGTTAGTTAGTTAGTTAGTTAGTTAGTTAGTTAGTTAGTTAGTTAGTTAGTTAGTTAGTTAGTTAGTTAGCTAGCTAGCTAGCTAGCTAGCTAGCTAGCTAGCTAGCTAGTTAGTTAGTTAGTTAGTTAGTTAGTTAGTTAGTTAGTTAGTTAGTTAGTTAGTTAGTTAGTTAGTTAGTTAGTTAGTTAGTTAGTTAGTTAGTTAGTTAGTTAGGTTAACATCATTGAACTCCAGACATGTTCATAGGAGCTCAGATCCTCCCCTCAGTATGAACTCCAACGTCCGATGGCTAATAGTACCGGTTCTATGTGGATTAACAAGTCTTCTGGTTTGTCTGGTGTGTGTCTCATTTTTTGCTATGCCGATTTTAATTCCTAAGTCTGCCATTCTGGCGAGAGATGTGGATTCACTGCCCCCAAAGTTCTCTATCCTTCCCATTTCTTTGAGGGCATTAACAATATCAGCATGATCCATAAGCAAAAAAATTGTCTTTTAATACTGAGAGCTGAGTTGAGTTGAGTCAAGAATTGACATCACAGCACTCATGGCATTCCCATGCATGCTTCGTCCTTATCTTCAGCAGCCAGCGCAGAGTTCCAATACTGATGGTACTGGTCACAATCTGGTTATATGTCCATCTCGTCTTTCTTCTGAATGTATTGAGCCGGCTAGACCCTCTGGTTACATCCAGATGCCTCATTCTCTCCACGCCATCATAATCTTCTATCTCTACTGATTCCGTTGCTTGTTCATAAAGGGTCTTGACCACATCTGCCTTGTTTTTAATACTGAGAGTGGTGAAGAAGTTCAGATATTGTATACACTTGGTGACTGGCTCAGCAGAAAATATTTTTTTACCCCAAAACAATAAGATAAGATTGTCTCACTACCGCCTGTCACCCTATCAAATCCATACATACAAAAACTGTTATTTCAAAAAAGGAATAATAAATCAACGTCTTTTAATAATGGATCCTCTTAAATCTTCCTGAGAACTACTAGCCTAAATCTTCATCACAGTATCATCATCAATGTCCACTTCTACCATTAGGCTTCATGAGGAAGAACAGTTTGCAACAGGTCTGGCCACCTTTACTTCCCATCACATTTTTGAAATATTTATTTTAGGTAAGTATCTAGCCACTTCATAAGCACAGGTTTTGTTCTATTTTGCTTTGTAATTCTTCTTCTTTCTCTTCAGTTCCTCTTTTACCATTTCAGTGTTGAGGTTCTGCTTCTTGCTTGTCTGGCAAACTTGACCATCACCACAGCATGCTGTTGTAGAATTTATCTGATGTTATCTTTCCATCTTGTTCTTGGTTTACATTGTGCTATAAGTCCTTCTCCTCTTTTAGACTATTCCTTGAACGGTTTGGCATCATTCTTTCCAAATGGACAAACCATTAGATTTGTTGTCTTTGTGTGTAATTTAAATGGTTTCTGTGCTTTTTTTCTCTACAATTTCATTCCTGATTTGATCTCATACATCCCTTCTCTGACATCTTATTTCCATGGTTACTAATTTTCTTTTATAGTCTGTTATGACTGACCATGTCTCCATGTCTGACACTGATAGCACAGAGTGGGAATGAATATGCTTTGTATGAGATGTCTCTTTGTGTTGATACTAATTTTTGCAATACTGATTGCCCTAAATGCAGTATTTTTTCCATATCTAAAAATGAACATGCCTGCAATGGGTATTCTGAGTGCCAAATAATCGACATTTTCACTTTTTTGCTGGTCCTTGCAAGGGCTGGAAATAGATCTAAAATAAAAGATCTGTAATTCACCCCTCGTATAGTAACTAATCGGGAGCCACAGTGGTGTGGCAGTTAGATGTCCACCTGCGAATAGAAGGTCATAGATTTATATCACCAGGGAACCAGATGTTTTCAAGTATGACCTTGGTATCCAAATTGACCTAGCTTTAAATTGGTACCAGGTAAATCCTAAGAAGTAAAGACAATGAGCAGGATGCCGACCACATCACTCATCGAGGGCTGGTTGGTCTAAACAAATATGCCACTGGCATGTAAAGAGACCTTTAATTTACTTTATAATAAGTAATCATTCCTGAACTGGAAGAGGAAATGAAAAAAAAGAAAATAATTCATCCAAACACAAGTCATCAGCAACATTTACATTCATTAAGTAATTCTGAATTGGAAGAAAAAGTTAAATAAAAGAAAATAATTCCCTGTAACACAAGTCATCAGCAACACTTACATTTGGGCACCCTGGATTTTCATTAGATTCTGTAAACGGCAATATGTATTTGTTCTTTTTACAGATGTACATTTGTACCACCCTGTCGCAAGTGACAACAGTCCATTTACCATTCTGTAAAATCAAACTGATATTATTAAAAATTGTTCCTTGTTAACAGTATATTTGATCTTAAGGTATTCACATCATAGTTGTTTATAATACAATAAATACATTATAATAATTTAAACATTTTATAATTATAATACATTAAATCTGTATGTATACGCATCAATGGTTAATAATATACCTGACTTTCATGTACACATGTCAGTTTTTAACAATATTTTAGTTTTATGTATACACAATGTTAATAATATTTGTATTCACATTACAGTTGTTAATAAAATATTATAGATTCACTTTTTACACACGACAGTTGTTGGTAATGCATTAGAGCTTCACTTTTACTTATCACTGTTGTGTATAATACATTAGAGCTTCACTTTTACTTATCACTGTTGTGTATAATACATTAGAGCTTCACTTTTACTCATCATTTTTTCATTCATTGGCACCTCCGTCTTTCCAGACGATAGTGTTATATTGCGCTATGAGGAGGCATGAGACTCACAGCCCATGACGATGGCGAGTGTGACTAGCAAGACCCGCCCGTGTCAAGAAAAGTCTTCCACAATGATAGCATGGGATTTCAGGACCATTGTTGTCAACATTTGTGTTTAATCTGTTTCTCTTCAGACGCTCAGCTCTCATCCTTTCTGCAATAATTTCTTCCTTTAGTCTCATTCCCTTCCTGATATGACCTTTCCACACAACACGATTCATGGCATTTTGTTCCCAGGAGTCCAGCTCAATACCTGTATCATTCATGTCCTGCTTGCACACATCTTTATAGCGTTGTAGAGGTCAGCTTCGAAATCTTCTTCCTGTATTTAATTCACCATAAAGGATGTCCTTAGGGACTCTCCCATCCTCCATTCTCCAGGTGTGACCCAGCCACCTGAGCCTTCGTAGACTGAGCATGGAAAAGACTGTTGTAGTACCTGCTCTTTCCAGTACCTCAGTGTTTGTGATTTTGTCCTGCCACTTAATGCCAAGTATTCTTCTTAGACATCGCATGTGAAAGCTATTAAGCCGTCTCTCTTGGTGCAAATAGGTTGACCAAGTTTCACTTTTAATTTTTTTGTTTTTGTTTTAATTGTGAGCTTTCTGTTCTCCCAAACTCTCTTTGTCAATTTGCTCATTGTTGTTGCTGCCTTACCTATCCTAATGTTGATTTCTTCGTCCAGCAATAGTTTATTATTCACTGTGGAATCCAGATAGGTAAAATGGTCTACTGTCTTAAGCTCTTCACCGTCAATGTAGACTGAAGGTCTGTCATTGACAACTTGCACCATAATTCGTCTTCTGTTAGTCCAAATTCACAGCACACATCAGCAAAGGCAGATAGTAAACACTGCAGCTCCTCCTCTGAGTGGGTGGTTATTGCGGCATCATCTGCAAACAGCAGCTCTCTGATAAGTACCTTTCTTATCCTGGTTTTGGCCTTCCGCCTGTGTGCATTGTAAAGGCTGCCGTCAGATCGAGAATGAATGAAAATACCACCCTCCTGATCTCGAAAGGCATGTGTCAAAAGAAGGGAAAAGTATATTCCAAAGAGGGTAGGAGCAAGTACACACCCCTGCTTCACTCCATTTTTGATTAAAAACTCTTCCGATGTTTCACCATCAAAGTTGATTGTACCTTTCATAGGTGTGTGGAAGGACTCAATAATACTCAGTAGATTAGGTAGACACCCCATCTTCTTCAGTGCACTGAACAGACCTTTTCGACTAACCAAATCAAATGCCTTGGTAAGATCAATCAAAGCAACATACAGTGGTTGATTTTGTTTGCAGCATTTTTCCTGCAACTGACATAATGAAAATATCATATCAGTGGTAGATGGGTTCCCACGAAAGCCACACTGGGACTCTGGGTAAACGCGATCCCCCAGGATCTGGAGTCTTCGAAGAACAATTCTCGCGAGCACTTTTCCAACAGTACACAGCAGTAGTTATTGCAGTCACTCCGATCACCCTTGTTCTTGTACATAGTTGTGATGTTTGCATCTTTGAAATCTTGCGGAACCTCTTCCTCTTGCTAGCAGAGTGTTATTAGCTGATGGATGTGTGGGGTTAGAATGTCTTTCCCACTCCTGATGATTTCAACAGGAATTCCATCTCTGCCTGGGGCTTTCCCTGAAGCCAATTCGTCAATAGCATTCCCAACTTCTACAACTGTTGGAAATGTGTCCAGATAGTCAAGAGTTGGTAGCGTCTCCGTGGCATTAAGAGCACCATCTGCTAGTTTAGTATCAACCGAGTAAAGCTCCAGATAATGTTCCACCCATCTATCTAGCTGCTTTTTCTTGTCATTAATAATCTATCCATTCAAATTCTTTAATAGTGCACTTTTTTTAATAGTAGGACCTATGGCCTTCTTGATTCCCTCATACATACCTCTGACATTACCATCACTGCTAGCATTTTGAATGCTTTCACATAGCTGGATCCAGTAGTTGTTGGCATACTGCCTAGCTACCTTTTGCAAATGATTTCTAGCTGCTCTTAATTCAATGAGAGTTGGAGTGAATTAAAGGTTGGAGTGTCTGGCTATTTGCTTCAAACCAGTCCTTACTTCTATTTTCTCTAATCCCATAGACTGATACAACTGTTTTGTAAACAGTCTCCCTAATTTCATCCCATCTTAAGCTTGCTGTAGAGTTATCCTGGATATCAGTGAAAGCATCTTCAAGCTGTTGTTGAAACTCTAAACACTTTTCAGGATTTTAAGTTTTGGAAATATTTTACCTAGGGATATATTTGTTTTTTGAAGTGAAAATTCTCTTTAATTTCATCCGTACTCTTGCTGCAACTAGGGAATGGTCGGTATCACAGTCAGCATTGTGGCAGCTGCAAGTTAGTGATACACAGTTCAAGTGCTGCCTCCTTGTGAGAATAAGGTCCAGCTGGTGCCAGTGGCCAGATCTTGGATGTTTCCATGACACCTTATGGCGGTCTTTAGTTTTGAAAAAGGAGTTTGTGATGCACAAGTCACTTCTAATGCAGAATTCCAGTTGTCTCTGCCCATTTTCATTCATGTGGCCAACATTATATTTTCCAAGACAAACTGGCCATGAGTTTGAGTCTGACCCTACACGAGCATTAAAATCACAAAGTATATAGATGCTGTCAGATTTAGAAATTGATTTCACTGAATTATCCAGTTTCTCATAAAAAGAGTCCTTTGCGTCTTCTGCTGACGTTTGTGTGGGTGTATATGCAGTAACAAGGGTAATAAAACCGCTTGAGGTAGACAATCGTGGGGATAATATTCTGTCACTTCCTCCAGTTGGACTCTCAACTGATCCTAACAATGAATTCTTTACTGCAAATCCCACTCCATACATCCTGATTTCTTCCTGGCCTCTGCCTTTCCAGAAAAATGTATAGTTATTTTCTCTAATAGACCCATCCTCTGGCAGACGGGTTTCTTGTAGGCCAGCAATATCTATGCCAAGTTTGTTGAGTTCGGCATCAATGATAGCCGTTTTTCTCACATCAATAATGTTTTCCAGGTCAGTGGAAAACCCTGGACACATGGTCCTCATGTTCCAAGAGCCAGGTCGAAGCTTGGGGTTTTGTTTCTTTTTATTGCCTGGTGCATTGGTTTTACAGCCTGCAGTTCGGATTTTCTCCTAGCTCCAAGCACCCATTGAAGCATACAAGCTTCGGCGGATTAACAACTTATTGGATAGGGGCTGTCCAGCTTAAGGCGGGCGGTTGTTGATCAGTGACATTCGAAAATGTCTCCCACCGTCAGAGGCAACCCGTGGCGCCCCTGTCTACGCCAACTGACAAGGACTTATAACCCGTAACTGCTGCCTCTCGATTTGTTTCCAAGACCGATTAAGGCCAGGGATGAAGTTCCTCCTCTCCATAGCGCAAAGCCTGAGCAGTGTTGTAGAGACCATATGTCGACCTGCCTTGTTTACTCCAAAGGAAAGGTAAAACCAGTACGCTTGGAACGAGGCAGGTTGCAGAAGCTGCCGGATCAGAAGAGCAGTGCTCTATCTGTTCGCCTGTCAGAGCTTCCCTCCTAGACCAGCTGCCAGCCAAGGCGAAGGGCCTGGTTTGCCCTGCCATAACACAAAGTTTTCAGGTTGCATTTTGTCTTCCTAGGATAAGGCTAGTATCCTCCCCAATGCGCTTCTCCGCCCGAAGCCGTTGGCACAATATGGGATGTTGGGTTAGTATTCACCGCCTGACATTCAGCCTAACAGAAGACAGGTGGTACCGGCTACTGTTATACGGTAGCTCAGTAATATCTGACCAAGAGCTGACACTCATCACTGTTGTGTATAATACATTAGTGCTTCACTTTTACTCATCACTGTTGTGTATAATACATTAGTGCTTCACTTTTACTCATCACTGTTGTGTATAATACATTAGAGCTTCACTTTTACTCATTACTGTTGTGTATAATACATTAGAGCTTCACTTTTACTCATCACTGTTGTGTATAATACATTAGAGCTTCACTTTTACTCATCACTGTTGTGTATAATACATTAGTGCTTCACTTTTACTCATCACTGTTGTGTATAATACATTAGAGCTTCACTTTTACTCATCACTGTTGTGTATAATACATTAGAGCTTCACTTTTACTCATCACTGTTGTGTATAATACATTAGAGCTTCACTTTTACTCATCACTGTTGTGTATAATACATTAGAGCTTCACTTTTACTCATCACTGTTGTGTATAATACATTAGAGCTACACTTTTACTCATCACTGTTGTGTATAATACATTAGAGCTTCACTTTTACTCATCACTGTTGTGTATAATACATAGCTTCACATACACACATCACACTTGTTCAAAATACACAACACATATCACAGCTGTGTATTACACATCAGAGATTCTTCAACCTATCCCTCTTGGTATATAAACAGTTAATTTAACTGTTCATATACCACAGCAGAAGACATACCCTTGTTCAGTGGAGTGGTAGAATCAGAGAGAGGATAAGGAATACAGAATAGAAATTATTACAGAAAAGTTGAGAGCAGAACGTCTGAGAAGAGGCACACTACATACATGAAATATTATGCTCTGATATGGTTCTCAACCTTCCAAATGCCGCATGGATGAGACCCCTTAATACAGTTCCTCTTGTTGTGGTGACCCCCAACCATAAAATTATTTTCATTGCTACATCAAAACTTCAGTGAATATGTGTTTTCCAATGGTCTTATGCTACCCCTGTGAAAGGGTCGTTTGACCCCCCAAAAAAGGTCATAACCCACAGATTGAGAATCACTGCTCTAAATGTAGAAGACTTTTCTGAATGCAGGTGGGTCTTGCTAGCCATACTCGCCGCGGACTATGTTTCCCATGTCTCCACATAGCACAATATATAATACAATCATCTCATCTGGAAAGGTGCCAACGAAGACATCAACATCAAGACAACCTGTATTATCCAAATTATCTGGCTCTCTTTTATTCCATTTTGTGTACTGTACAGGTGAAGTCAATCCTCTCGATTTAAACCGTTGCTGATGCAACATCTACGTTTATCAACAAGCTTGTTTTTCTTCTGCTCTTCCCTTTTAGATTACCTGTCCATATACCAGAGCTGTAAGAAACCAGACTAGGTTTATGAACTCAACAAAAACTCACACTTGCTGACATCAAGACACAGTCAGCATTATCCAGATTATTTGGCTCGCCTGGGTTCCAGTTGGTGTACTGTACAGGTGTTCCATCCTCCCAGGTGAAAGTGTTCTCTAGTGGGTCTTGTAGGCCAATCCATGCAGAGCCTGTGTAGCCTGAGAATAAAGGTAACAGTTACAAAGTCTCGGTAGTCTGAGAATAATGGTTAAAGTTACAAAGCCTCTGTAGTCTGAGAATAATGGTAAAAGCTACAAAACCCTGTAGTCTAAGAATAATGGTAAAAGTTACAAAGCCCCTAGCCCTCTAGTCCGAGAATAATGGTAAAAGTTACAAAGCCCTTAGCCCTCTAGTCCGAGAATAATGGTAAAAGTTACAAAGCCCTTAGCCCTCTAGTCTGAGAATAATGGTAAAAGTTACAAAGCCCCTCTAGTCTGAGAATAATGGTAAAAGTTACAAAGCCCCTCTAGTCTGAGAATAATGATAAAAGTTACAAAGCCCCTGTAGTCTGAGACTAATGGTAAAAGTTGCAAATCTGTTGCGGCCATGGTAGCTCATGAAGGTCTTGGGTTTGTTCCACATCGAGTCAGTTTTAGTTTTAAACTGACCTCGGCCCCCAGGCAGACCCAGCCTAAAACAGATACCATGCCATTTCCTGGAAGTAAAAGCTGCCGTTGTAATACTCACCACATCACTTATCATGTGTTGATAAGTCAATGCCTATAAAAACATGCTTACTTACTCAGTCAATTCTCTACTACCCTGGGATGTACAGGTTTGCCATGGAGATTGCTAGATTTCTATATCAGCAGTGTTTGTTTTTTTTTTTTTTTTTTTTTGGCTTTGTTCCATTCGAGTCCTCTGTCAGTCAGGGGTTGTCGGATGTTGTCTTTCCAGTGAACCCCAAGTTGTCCTGGTGGTCTGATTTTTTAGTTCTTGGCCCTCCAATGCCTTCCATGGTGGCCGATTCTTTTCCATTCTGCATACATGGCCAAACCATCCTAACTGACTGATCCACTTGAGTTTGTAAAGCCTAGGTATTGTCTGATTGCGGACTTTGTCCCTTCTTGTCACTTTGACCAACTTTCTCAGATATCTCATTTCTAAGGCCTGAAGTTGGCTTCTGTTAGCTGTTCAAAAATATCAAATGAACGTGGATGGGTGTAATGAAATCATACTCTTCTATTTAATGCTATGTAGAATTGATGTAATGAAATCATTATCTATTACTAGGTAATATTGATACAATTAAATCATTCTCTACTTTCTGTCAGGTATCAAGGATGTAATGAAATCAATCTCTACTTACTGTCAGTTATGGATGTAATGAAATCATTCTCTACTTACTGTCAGGTATCATGGATGTAATGAAATCATTCTCTACTTACTGTCAGGTATCATGGATGTAATGAAATCATTCTCTACTTACTGTCAGGAATCATAGATGTAATGAAATCATTTTCATCATTATCAGTAATGGATGCTAGTGCAGCCTGCATTAGAGAACCACTGCAAGAAGCATTTGCTGCTGCCCAGTTCACACCAGTTGAAGATGAAGCAGCAATATAACATGAACCACGAAAAGTATTCCAACCACTGGGACAACCAAAAGTCACATCACCTAGGTAAATTATGGATAAAACAATTACATTAACCTTGATAAATTATGGATAAAATTATCATATTAACCTAGGTAAATTATGGATAAAACAATCATATTAACCTAGGTAAATTATGGAAAAAACAATCACATCAAAGTGTGCAATTTTACAGTAATGTTTCTCGTTCATTGGCATGTCAATTTCAGTCAATATTGTTAAATTGAGTTACAGGAGTGGGGAAATTGCACCCAATGAAGGCCAGGGATAAGGCTCCTCCTCTCCGATAGCACAAGAACTGGCCAGTATTGTAGAGACCATGTGTTGTCAGTGTAACAATATCCCTCTCTCCAACTGCCAATTATTTATACAATCACATCTCTGCTGCTTCCAAATAATTTTTCACTAATCGTCAAACGCTCCATGAGTCACCTCCATATATCAGGATAGGATTTATACAGCTCTTGATATCAAGCCTCATAAAAAATAATACTATATAATTTCACACATTTTCTGGGAAAGTTGTGGAGAAAAGGCAACGAAGAAATCTGGCAACTCCACCTCACATGCCATGTATGAAGGTCTAATACTTCATATCCCAGTTACAGTTATCTGCTGTGGGACTACCTTTACCTCTATAAGTACTAAACTACTTCTTGTTCTTCTTCACATTCACTGGCTGTAAACTCATGTGGGAATGTCCTGGTTGTCCATCCACTTCTAAAATTTAGTTTTGCTCCAAAACTGGAGTTTTGTGTGCACATCTGTTTAACAGATCTGGATATGAGCAGATTGTTGGTTTTTCACCTCTAAGGAAAATACACTCTGACTTCAAAGGAAGAGACAATCATGTCTACCTTGGTAAGGACCCTCAACTGGGAATCTGTTTCTAGGATGACCATGGAGAGGTTTATATAGGTCTTGACCAGTCTGAGCCATGGACCGGCTGCACCATCACATGTGGTTCAGCACTTCAATATTGCAGAACTAATCAATATTTGTGAATGTATTGCTCATGCTATTCCAGTGGCCCTAGGAGTTTCCCAGCAGTAAACATTATATGTGAAAAGTCAGGTTATCTTCATGGCACTCCAGACACACCCATAGGTGCTTAGATTCCTCCTCACCCTATAGAATATATAGCATCATATATAATATTATATGTATTAAATACTAACCATCTTCTTCTTTCTTCTTTTGTTCTACTGTTCATGCCACGAGTTTCCTGTCTTTTGCTCATGACAAATCCTCTCATGACAAACTCCCTTGTGACAGCCTCTCTCATGACAAACTCTCTTGTGATAAACTCTCCCATGACAAACTCTCTTGAAACAAACTCTCTGGTGATAAACTCTCTGGTGACACTCTCATGACAAACTCTCTCATGACAAACTCTCTCTTGATGATGCTGTGCTGCCCCAGTTTGGCCTCTGGCACATCGGGCAAATGTTGCAAGACCTATATTTTATGGACCAGCTGGCACTTGATGGGTGTTGTGGTCAATATCACACTGGCCACTTTCCCTTCCTTGATAACCATTTTATGCTGAGTCAGCATGTCAGTCCTTTGTCAAAATTTGAAATATGGACATATTATTATTTATAACTTAGGCTTCTTAAAACAACAGATATATTTAAATATTTTTTTAATTGGCTAGAAGTTTTAAGGAAAGCCAGCAAAATCTAACACTTACCTGGCAATCTTGCTGGAGTTGTAGATGTTGTGACTAAAGACGGTACAGTTACTTTTGCTAGAAAAATCAAAGCAAATGTCTGGACTATATAAATTATTAATTAAACTGTAACTATTTCTCATATTTTTTTTACTGCAGATTAGCTATCATCTTAACCAACTTGTCAGTACACACATATTCAGCATCAAAGGAAACAGCAAAAGTCAAAAGCTAACAGACGACAAAAATAATTTTAAAAAAATAAAAATAAGAAGATAAAAATTATGGTGCAAGGTACTAATGGCAGACCAGCAATTGTCATTCACAGCTGACCATTTCACATACCCAGGATCCCTAGTCAGTAATAAATTATCACTGGACGAAGAAATCAACAACAGGATAGGTTGGCTAGCAACTGCAATGAGCAGATTTACAGAAAGAGTTGTAGGAAGGAGCCACTGGTTAAAATCTTCTTATTCTTCTTTCGTTCGCTTGAAATAGATTATCTATATCTGCAATGATGTCTCAAGTATGAACTTCACTGTCTTTTGTAGTTCACTTAGCGACCTGTAAAGTTTGACTTGCACCGATGTTTCTCTTGGCCAAAAGTTTTGCCTTGATATGTTGTATTTGGAACAGTCTTGGAGGACATGATCTGTTGTCTCAGGTGCCAATAAAATTTAAACACTTGTTATAAGCCCCAGAACTCTTCCATATGGTAGTAAAATTTGCATCAACTTACACACCAGAGGGAATAGATAAATAGTTTTCACATGAAACGTCTACCAAGAATACTTGACATTGGATGAATGGACAAGATTACAAATGCTAAGATATTGGAAAGAGCATTTATTACAAGTGTTCTCAATGCTCAGTCTTTGATAACTCAGATGGCTAGGACACAACTGAAGGATGGAGGATGCATCTTTTGTGAATTACAGAAGAGTCTAGGTTGTTAGGATCAGCTTCTACTATGGTTTAAAGATGCGTGCAAGTTGAACATAAATGGTAATATTTTGAGGCGGATTCATCTAGGACACACTTGAAGGACAGAGGATGGCAGAGTCCTTAAAGACATCTTTGATGAGTTACAGAAGAGTCGAAGATGTCAGGATCAGCTTCTACTATGATTTAAAGATGCGTGCAAGTTGAACATAAATAGTAATATTTTGAGGCGGATTTATCTAGGACACACTTGAAGGACAGAGGATGGCAGAGTCCTTAAAGACATCTTTGATGAGTTACAGAAGAGTCGAAGATGTCAGGATCAGCTTCTACTATGATTTAAAGATGCGTGCAAGTTGAACATAAATGGTAATATTTTGAGGCGGATTTATCTAGGACACACTTGAAGGACAGAGGATGGTCAAGTCCTTAAAGACATCTTTGATGAGTTACAGAAGAGTCGAAGATGTCAGGATCAACTTCTACTATGATTTAAAGATGCCTGCAAGTTGAACATAAATGGTAATATTTTGAGGCGGATTTATCTAGGACACACTTGAAGGACAGAGGATGGCAGAGTCCTTAAAGACATCTTTGATGAATTACAGAAGAGTTGAAGATGCCAGGATGGTAATATTTTGAGGTGTATTCATGGGGACAGGATGCAAAGAAACAAATTTTATTCAGAGGGAAAATAAGTTAGAGAATAAGAACAAAGGAGAAAAGGATTTGCAGACAGGTTAAGAGCAAACCGTCTAAAAAGAAACAAGAAAAATACAGGTGATGCAAGCTCTAATTGTGGAAGATTCTTCTTAACACAAGCAGGTCTGGCTAGTCACACCTGTTGTCGCCGCCGCTGCCCAAGTCACCGTCATCATCATCATCATCGTCATCACCATCATCACCACCACCATCATCATCACCACCACCATCATCATCATCATCATCACCACCACCACCATCATCATCATCACCACCACCACCACCATCATCATCATCACCGTCATCACCATCACCACCACCACCATCATCATCACCATCATCATCATCATCATCACCATCATCACCACCACCACCATCATCATCATCATCATCACCACCATCACCACCACCACCACCACCATCATGGACTGTGATTCCTATGCTAGCCTATATGGAACATTGTAGTCTGGTAAGACACAAAGCTGCCATCAAACAATTGTATTGATTAAAATATCAGGACCAGTGCTAATTAACTTTAATAGTTCATTCAGTCAGAAGACTGATCTAGCTCTGTGTGTTGGTTCATTCAGTCAGAAGACTGATCTAGCTCTGTGTGCTGGTTTCCTTTGGAGTCTCACTTTTTTTTTAAACTGTTGAGACAACTAACATCAATGCAGTTTGTGCCAACCTAAACAATATTCCTCACGAAACTGTAGCCATGTGACTTATCCTTATGATGCATTAGATATGAACTCCCTGATCAGTTCATTTTTTAGTTCCTAAGTACTAACTCACTCAACCATAAATTCCAAAAGTCTGAAGCTTATAATTAGGAAGTATAGTGCTTTGGGCACTTTTCTCCTGAAAAAAAAAATTTGCTTTTTTAATATTTAGTCTTTAGCAGGGACAGGATTGAGCTAGTCCAGCTATTGATGCAAATCAACCACATATAATGAATACTAGATTCCTGGGAAACTAAAGAAATACTAACTATATTACCCCTTATACATTCTTTAGGCTGCCATAAATATGTGTCTCCCTCAATTTTCTAAACATGACTTGCATTTTTATCTTTTAATTTAAAAATTGCAACATTCAATGTTTTTAAAGGTGATATGATTGACATATTGCACTGGCTGTTATCCCAAATATTTCAAAACATGGAACTGAAACTCCTGTGATGACCCACAGGGATCCCTAAAACTCCTAAATTTCCAAATGAAAGGACCCAGCTAGAACCAAATCCATCTTCAGAAGGAGGGAGGGGGCAGAGAGGCTGCGTGGTCTAGAAGCATGGCGTTCGCCTCGAGTGCTGGAGGTCCCAGGTTCAAGCCCCCGTGAAGGCTGGGATTTTTTCATATGGACTTCTAGTAATTTCCCCTGGTCACTAGTTAGTAAGATCGGACTCCCGTGTGTATTGCTGCGCACGTTAAAAAAATCCCTTGGCAGTAGGAAATTTTGTTTAAAGTAGCCTAGCGGTGCTGCCCAGGCAAAAAATTTGGAGTTAAAAATCTACCCAAAGTATTTCAGGATCCTTGCCGGTGCTACGGAGTTTGTGCCCTGTGCTGAGATTCTTCTGACTCAAACTTATGGGATACTATCCTTTTGTCATGATGTTGATCCGTTGTTTAAATCTAAACCTAAACCATCTTCAGAGCATAGAGTAAATGGCTTAACTGCTTCACCATGAAGACCCTCACACTATGGCCAGATTTCATAACAATATGATGCCCTTATACCTTTCTTCATGCACATATATCCATGTCTATTCTGGCAAGGCAAAGCATCCCATCGTCCACTTAGTCTAGCAAAAGCAGCACAGGAAGCACTATCATCAGGCTGCTCTGAAAACAAATTAGCATAGTGGTTATAGCAAATTAGCTTACAGTTATGTCTGGTGTCTGTGGCTCAGACGTGAAGGGGTTTTTGTAATTCCAAGGTTCAATTCCAGCTGCAGGTGATCTGGCAGCAGACAACCTTGCACTGATTTTGACAGAGGAGCCAACCATTTAGAAAGCTTCTTCTTCTTCTTTCGTTCACTTGAAATAGATTATCTATATCTAGCCAACCATTTAGAAAGCTTCTTCTTCTTCTTTCGTTCACTTGAAATAGATTATCTATATCTGCAATGTTGTCTCTAGTATGAACTTCACTGTCTTTTATAATTTACTCAGCGGCTGTAAAGTTTGGCTCGTATCGGTGTTTCTCTTGGCCAAAAGCTTTGCCTTGATATGCTGTATTTGGGACAGTCTTGGAGGACGTGATCTGTTGTCTCAGGTGCCAATCCACATGTGCCCATGGCTGATTCAAAATTTTAAAATTTTGTGTACATGTGGCTGCAAAGTCGATTGTGTCCTGTTCTAAGGTGTATCTACCAATTCCTGTAGTTCCTTCTGACTTGTCGCTGTCAAGACATTGTCATCAGCATAACCCAGATTGTTTATGTTAAGACCACCAACCACAATTCCTGTTATATACATGATAGATCTCATTATTTTGCACTGTATAATGAAAATAAATCAGGTGATAATACTTACAGCTACATATTTTCACAGTGCTTACAGCTACAAATTAGCATAGTGGTTGGTTATAGCTACAAATAAGCATAGTGATAACTACAAATTAGCATAGTGCTTACAGCTAGAAGTTAACATAGTGAAACTGATTCAAGAAGTTTCAAAGACATTTAGTGTCCACACATGGTTAAACTGATTCAAGAAGTTTCAAAGACAGTGTCCACAAGTGGTGAAACTGATTCAAGAAGTTTCAAAGACAGTGTCCATAGTGGTGAAACTGATTCAAGAAGTTTCAAAGACACTTAGTGTCCATAGTGGTGAAACTGATTCAAGAAGTTTCAAAGACACTTAGTATCCATAGTGGTGAAACTGATTCAAGAAGTTTCAAAGACACTTAGTGTCCATAGTGGTGAAACTGATTCAAGAAGTTTCAAAGACACTTAGTGTCCATAGTGGTGAAACTGATTCAAGAAGTTTCAAAGACACTTAGTGTCCATAGTGGTGAAACTGATTCAAGAAGTTTCAAAGACAGTATCCATAGTGGTGAAACTGATTCAAGAAGTTTCAAAGACACTTAGTGTCCATAGTGGTGAAACTGATTCAAGAAGTTTCAAAGACACTTAGTGTCCATAGTGGTGAAACTGATTCAAGAAGTTTCAAAGACATTTAGTGTCCATAGTGGTGAAACTGATTCAAGAAGTTTCAAAGACAGTGTCCACACATGGTGAAACTGATTCAAGAAGTTTCAAAGACACTTAGTGTCCATACGTTGTGAAACTGATTCAAGAAGTTTCAAAAACAGTGTCCACACGTGGTGAAACTGATTCAAGAAGTTTCAAAGACAGTGTCCACACATGATGAAACTGATTCAAGAAGTTTCAAAGACAGTGTCCACACGTGGTGAAACTGATTCAAGAAGTTTAAAAGACAGTGTCCACACATGATGAAACTGATTCAAGAAGTTTCAAAGACAGTGTCCACACATGGTGAAACTGATTTAAGAAGTTTCAAAGACACTTAGTATCCACATTTAGTGAAACTGATTCAAGAAGTTTCAAAGACAGTGTCCACATGTGGTGAAACTGATTCAAGAAGTTTCAAAGACAGTGTCCACATGTGGTGAAACTGATTCAAGAAGTTTCAAAGACACTTAGTATCCACATTTAGTGAAACTGATTCAAGAAGTTTCAAAGACACTTAGTATCCACATTTAGTGAAACTGATTCAAGAAGTTTCAAAGACAGTGTCCACATGTGGTGAAACTGATTCAAGAAGTTTCAAAGACACTTAGTATCCACATTTAGTGAAACTGATTCAAGAAGTTTCAAAGACAGTGTCCACACGTTGTGAAACTGATTCAAGAAGTTTCAAAGACAGTGTCCATATGTGGTGAAACTGATTCAAGAAGTTTCAAAGACACTTAGTGTCCACACGTGGTGAAACTGATTCAATAAGTTTAAAAGACAGTGTCCACACATGGTGAAACTGATTCAAGAAGTTTCAAAGACAGTGTTCACACATGGTGAAACTGATTCAAGAAGTTTCAAAGACACTTACTATTCACACGTAGTGAAACTGATTCAAGAAGTTTCAAAGACAGTGTTCACACATGGTGAAAATGATTCAAGAAGTTTCAAAGACACTTACTATCCACACGTAGTGAAACTGATTCAAGAAGTTTCAAAGACAGTGTTCACACATGGTGAAACTGATTCAAGAAGTTTCAAAGACAGTGTCCATAGTGGTGAAACTGATTCAAGAAGTTTCAAAGACAGTGTCCACAAGTGGTGAAACTGATTCAAGAAGTTTCAAAGACACTTAGTGTCCATACGTTGTGAAACTGATTCAAGAAGTTTTAAAGACAGTGTCCACATGTGGTGAAACTGATTCAAGAAGTTTCAAAGACACTGTCCATACGTTGTGAAACTGATTCAAGAAGTTTCAAAAACAGTGTCCACACGTGGTGAAACTGATTCAAGAAGTTTAAAAGACAGTGTCCACACATGATGAAACTGATTCAAGAAGTTTCAAAGACAGTGTCCACACGTGGTGAAACTGATTCAAGAAGTTTAAAAGACAGTGTCCACACATGATGAAACTGATTCAAGAAGTTTCAAAGACAGTGTCCACATGTGGTGAAACTGATTCAAGAAGTTTCAAAGACAGTGTCCACAAGTGGTGAAACTGATTCAAGAAGTTTCAAAGACAGTGTCCATACGTGGTGAAACTGATTCAAGAAGTTTCAAAGACAGTGTCAAAATGTGGTGAAACTGATTCAAGAAGTTTCAAAGATACTTTATGTCCATATGTGGTGAAACTGATTCAAGAAGTTTAAAAGACAGTGTCCATACATGGTGAAACTGATTTAAGAAGTATCAAAGACAGTGTCCACACATGGTGAAACTGATTCAAGAAGTTTCAAAGACAGTATCCACACGTAGTGAAACTGATTCAAGAAGAATTGTTACCCAGATAACCAATATCCTCTCTAACCTTTCCCATATTCAAGCAATCTGCTTGCTACTTGAGACAAACTTTCAAACTTACCATCATCCCAGTTGAGGAATGCAAAAGGTGTTCCATCTACCCACTGCCAGCCATTTTGTACACTTCTATCATTTGCTCCAATCCAGAAAAAGTCAGAACTGAAAGAAATTGACTCCCCTGAAAGAAAAGCAAATTTTACTGAAAATCATGCAGTTATATAGAAGAAGATTTTTTTTTAGAAGGACAACGATAAACAGTTGCAATGTTCAAGCAAAAAATAAAAAAGAAATCAGATAATATTCTTTAGTCAACAAAGTAAGAAAAATATCTGAGATCTTGACATCTGCTGTTTTAAAATAATACAAGCAAGGTTTTCTCCCCCCTCACCCCCCCCCCCCCCCCACACACACACAAAATGTGCTGGTACTCATCACAGAGTGTCTATTACAGTCAACATCATCATCATGTATTAGGTCCTTTGCAGAACGTTGCTCTATTACAGTATTACAGTAATGTCTATTACAGTACAGCTGAAAAATGATCCCTAAAACAGGTACCGGTACTGCACTGCGTACCACAAGAAGAAAAGCCCTGTATCCAAGAGAAAAAACAATAGAGATATACTAAAAATTGTATGAACAAGAAAATTAATAAACAACATTACAAAATGCTAGGCTGAAAAGTCAAATTTTCACATGTCATCTGTCATCAGTAACTGAGCTGTTGTAGTGAGGCTGCTAGGTGCTCATATGCTGACCCGAAAGTCTTGAGGTTGAATCTACACTGGGTGGGTTAAGAAACAAAACTGACCTTGGCTGTGAGGTAGAGTCACCCTATTAAATGTACCAGAGTACAAATAGCGGGCATGTTGTTGACCAAATCATCCACTGAGTGCCAGGTTGTCTATAAAAATATGAGTCTAGCATCATATGCCTGATAACAAACCACAGATCTACCAACCACTATCTTTTCCAGAAGTCAAAACTCTCATTAAGAAAAAGTCAGAAACAGATTGGAAAACCAACACTGGTTGTAACTATGAATAAGATTTTCTCAAACACCTGAACAGAACAGACCAAGTCACAGTTTTTTGCTTATGCACTGGATACTGCAGACTCAATAAACACTCATATAAACATTCATAGTTATGAGCCAAACAGCTCTCTACCAGTGTCTTTGTGCTGAACAGACTCCAGAACATGTCCTGCACGACTGTCCTCTCTTGGTGTAGCTGCAGAGCAACATATGGCAACACCCAATAGACCTGACAACAAAGCTTTGGGGAAACCTAAGAGGTCTTGAGATGACATCCTAGTTTATGGCCCACAGTGGATTATGCGCATGGCCAGAGATTGCTGGGAGTCGACGTAGCAGAGCGGCTAGACGTGTGCCACGGATCAGAAGAGTGTGGGTTCACTCATTGGCGAAGCCAGACTTTCTTTAAAAATGACCTTGGCTCCCAGGTCGACCCAGCCTTGAGTGGGTGCCGGGTGCAGTCCCGGGAAGTAGAGGCGGCTGGCGTGATGCTGACCACATCACCCCTCTCGTGCCGTTGGTCTATAAAAAATATAGGTCTAGCCCTATATGCCCTACACGCCTAAAAGCGTGGAAAAGGGTCCTTTACTTTACTTTTTTTTGCTAAAGAAGAAGAAGATATGCCTGATAGGCTACTGCTTTGAAAAGAATCTTTTTTTAATATCTGGTCTATAAACTGTCACTACTGTCAGTATTTACTGCTGTTTGTTTTTTATGGCGATGTAGACAGGAAAGCCGTGAGCCTGAAGATTAAGGGCCCATGGCTGGTGCTGACGCCACTGACTGTAGGCTGGGATGCTTATTTTTGCCCCTGAAGGAAAACTGCCTCCCCTGGGGGGATCGAACTCAGGTCTCTCATGTTGGAGCCCAACACTGTAACCACCCGGGAAGCCTTACCTTACATCTGGTCTATATTAGACAAAACTTTTAAAAAGTAGCCGACACCTTGCTTGGAGATAACACACGGTGTTTTTATTTTGATTTAAAAGCATGTACTGATAAACTTGATGGGACGAGAGGGTTGTGTCCCTCAAATAGGAATGATGTAAAAGCATGTACTGATAAACTCTGATGGGACGAGAGGGTTGTGTCCCTCATATAGGAATGATGTAAAAGCATGTACTGATAAACTCTGATGGGACAAGAGGGCTGTGTCCCTCAAATAGGAATGAAAACAGGTAATGTATGATGGATTGTGAGTGAACTGTCTGGATTTGGGTGAAAACTATATTGTAACAGTTGCATACCTCCCTTAGATAAGATCCATTATTGACTTTAAAGCATGTCTTACTTGATTTGATAAGGCAAAAGAACCACAGCCCTAGTTATTTACACAAGAATATCCTGTTTAGCACATCTGGGTTATAACTGGGATATACATAAATTGTGTTTCCCTTTCAATACTGCATTAATGTGCCTGTCTACGACGCTGTTTACTACTTGGAGATAAGAACTTGTAATTCATAACTGTTCTAACACTAGAAACTTTGATTTGAGTCTGTTAATTAACTCTTTCAGCCCCAGGGGGTTTAGCATCAGAGGCACAATGGGTAGTAAAGAGAGATGTATAATCGGCACATCTTGTATTCAATGGGCTTCTGAGTTGGAACTTATGAACGAATGATGCCTTTCTTGGGATATAAGGAGTTAACAGGCAGTGATAGTAACAGATATAAGATGAAGTCTCTGAACTGAGGTCAATGATAATTTTTATTACATGTGGATATTTCCATAAGTGATGAGGTAAATGTAAAGTAAAAAGTAAAGGATCCTTTTCAGGCCAGTGGAGCATCAGGCACCTGATGCTGGATTCATATTTTTATAGAGTAACTAGCCCTGGATGGGTAATGTGGTTAACATCAGGCTGGCTGCTTTGACTTGCCAGAACTTTACTTGGGGCCCAATTTAGGCTGGGTCCACCTGGGAGCCAAAATCAATTTCTGGAAACAAAGAAAAAAATCTGACACAAAGCGGATACAAACTCAAGACCTTTGGGCTGGTAAGCAAACTGTCTATCTGATACACCACCATGGCTCTCAAGTGATACAGAAGCTTCCTATTTATCACATGGCTAGTGCCTCGGCCATGTCGTGTGTGGATTATTAGATCAGTTTCCAAACTGCAGTTATTGAAGATATCTAGCCAATGCAGGTTTGTAACTGTGGCTTAGGCTTTGTGATTCATAATGCCAGGGTACTGAGTTCAATCCTAGCTGCAGGCAGTTTAGAAGCAGACCACGTTGCATTAGTTTTGACAGTGGTATCAAGAGCCAACCATTCAGGCAACAACAGCAAACTTGTTTAAATGTCAGGATAGTACGGTAAACATTAAGGTAGCTGCCGAGAGGAGACAAACCAATTGATTAACCATATGGCGCAAAAAGGGGGTTGTAATCTTAAGTTTTACTACCAAACGGGAGCCCAGCATTCCAATGGCTTGCTGTCTTACAATATTTCAATCTTTGATAACACACAATGTGTGATTCCTTCTTCCCTTTGTGTCCCAAACATCAGCTATGAAATTCTTTCTTATCCAGTTCGGCCAGCCAGAGAATACTACAAAAAACTGTTTATGAAAATTGTAGAGGTGGGACTCAAATGGTGTGACTGTGATTCAAGTCTGACATAAGTGCATTGTCATCTTCAGCAATCAGCAAAGATGAATATCAGTTATCGAATTAGTGACACTTACCTTCTAATGCTATCTGTTCCAAGCCACTGGCTATCGATGGTAGGTCACCTCCAGCAGTTATACAGGTCGACCTAGCATCCATCCAAGAAAGGACATTGGTGTTGAACTGAATACAGTTGTCTGCATAGGGAATATTTACCCAGCCTGGATCACAATTTGTGAAAGACGCAGGTGCTAAAAGAAATAAAAATCAAAGAAGCAGTGCCAGTTTTTAAAAACAATTTATTAATTAGATTAATTTATTAATTACATCAGAGTGCATCTGCATACAAAACACCTACAGAAACCTGAGATGTCAATATACTCAATATGAACTTTTGTTAAAAGTTTTAAATAAGGGTCGTTCAAATGAAGTTTGACCTCACTTAACACAGCTGTAAGTAAAGGCAAAGTATCAGTGCATGTTCAAATTGGAATCGTTGAAACAGTGTCATGTTGTTTGACACAGCTGAAGACAGAGCTCATTCATTTTATCATGCATGCAAGCTCTTCAAGCATGGAAAGTAAGAAAGATTGTCTACTGTTATTATGTGAAATTTATATGACTCTTAAAATATGAAAAGTTTATTATAATTGTCAGGTTTCATTAAATCAAAATGTCCAACTGATTTTCCATCCCCCAGTATTCCCTAGTATTTGCTCAGGATGCCCCAAGAAGATGCCAAGAGATCTACTGATCAGAATGAATTATAAGAATCATCATCATTATCTGACATCAGTAAGCATAGGTGGTCATAGTTTGCCAAATACCACACCCACCAAAATCTCAAAAATGTACTTCAGCGTCTTATCAGCACTGAGTAAGTCATCTCATTTCTTAGTGAAGATCATTTTATGGGTACCCATGTTTGGTGGGATTGCTACTATTCTACCAGAGACTCTAAATAATATGATAGAGTATTCTGTAAAAGCCTAAAAATAACTAGCCAAAACTCAACCTTCCTAGCTAGCATTGCGCCTTACGTCGTACTGTATGTGAAAGTGCTGCTCCGACTGCTGTTTCTATCAATGATAATTTACCATTAAAGAAGCAGATTCTTAATGCTGGCGTCTCTGGTGGCTGTCTTATACATTTACTGCATGTGCGAGCTGCTGGATTTTGCAGTGGCTGATGTGTTTTCAAATGGGGCAGTGATGCATGCATTTTTTTTAATTTTCACCAGCAGAGAAACAGAGCAATTAAAATGGTGACCTTTTGCAGTGAGTTTGAAAATAAAACTAACAACTTATAAATTATGCCAGTCAAGAAAATACTTACTAGTTAAAGCCCCTGGAGGAACTGTACCAGCCACTGTATTTGAAATAAATAAAATCAAATGCATTTCATATTCTAATTAATCATGACATAAATTGCTTTAGTTCATTAAATCCTAACATGTTATAAAGCCGTATGAGTGTCTTATTTATTGTAGCCAAATTAATATTATTACAGGTGGCTTGCAAAAACAGAAGCTTACAATATGAAAAGATTCAACACATGTTTAAAATGTTCTCCCCAATTATGACTTCCAGAATTTTGTTTTAATGAGGTTAACTATTTGCTTTGCACTAACAAATGGTTTACATCACATTTACACCCTAACATGTTGTTTATCATTAACCTCTGTTCTTATAAATGGTTTGTCTTTTATTTTTGGGCCATAATGTGCTCAAATTACAAATCATTTTAAAAGGCTGAAATGACATCTGAACTATATAGTGTCACACTTTAATGTAGCAGTCTATACAGCCTTTCAAATATTACTTGGTTTATATTACTATTCAAGAAGGCTAGCTAACTAGAAACAAAGTCCAGTGTGACATCTTCAGGAATGATCATGTGATTTGCACTCATTAGGATCCACATAATAAATTTACACTTTTTACATACAGCAAAATTTTCACTTCTTTGCATCTACAGCATAATAGATACTCCTTTGGGCTTTTAGTGAAATTTGTATTTTTTTTTAAATTCCTGTATGGGTTCCGGGGTCGCATTGTGGGAGAAAACAAGAACAGACCCACTGTCTCCCCAACAAACATGTTGTAGAAGGTATCTATTTGTGGGTTTCCTTTAAGGTAGCAGTGCATATGTCAAAGTGGCAAGGAACAAACAACTGCACACAAATAAGTCAGTAAAATGGATGAACACACAAAAATGTAGGCCCTGGCACAAAGCTAAAGTCCTAATGGATGAACAATCTGGACTTTTCGCTGGAGCTTACAGCCAGTGAACAAAGAAGAAGAAGTTTTTAAAAATGCATTATCTAGTGTATTTTTAACTCCTTTGAAGCTACAGCATGATTTATACTTTGGAATCCCAAAAGTAATTCATACTCTTTAGAATCCAGTGTTGTTATTATTACAACTCTTGATGTCCAGAATGATTTGTACTCACAGTCAGTTCCTATAAGCAACTCCTCCCTTTTAAACCTATTAAGAACATCTTCTCTATTATTCATCTGAGTGATGTAAATGTTTTGTGCCTGTTTAAAATCATTCATGCAATATCTACACCTTTCAGCTAACACATCAGACTTCTCCGGGCATTTGTTATGCAGGTTAGTCTTTCCAGTTAGTATCATGGGACATTGGTAGCCTCCTGTGTTCAGGAACTTTTTCATCCCCTGATACACAGGTGTTGCCCCAGGGCAGCCACTTGTAGATTTGTTGGCCCTCAAAAAAGGTCAAGGTAGAGTATGGGCCTTCCCCACTATCCAATTAGACTTTCATAAAGGCAGAGCCGATACATGGTACTTTGGTACTGAGCCTACACTAGAAATTGTCACATCCTGCACATGACCTTACATCCGTACATAAAACCTTCCTCTCATTATGGGCTGCTTCCTTTAGGGATCTTCAGGAAGCAGTCTGAAAAACCAGAGATACCGATTCCCTGCATAAGTGGACATCTCACTTTCTCTGTATTTTAGATTTCTGTTTTTGATAATGGCAATTTTTCATTTGGATGCCCCAGCGCACTTTTTGCAAAATTCCCGGGTAGCATGCATCAGGCTTGGCTTCCTTGTATGGTCAGTGCATTCTGGTGTGGCCACTGGTAGCAGACTTTTGAACCTTTGCTGTCATACAGTAAGATACTTGAGAGATGGACTTTGAACCTAAGCAGTCATACAGTAGAAGTTTTTGCTGACAGATATCTGAACCAGGTCATACAGTAAGACTTTCAGGTTACAGAATTTGAACCTGAGTTTATCAATTAGTAGGGTACTCAGCCAGCAGACTTCATTCGTATTCCAACCAATCTTTCCATGTACATTATCACTCATACACAGGAAGTGGGCTGGTGAGTGCCAGAGGATTTCTAAGCAATTTATCTCTGAGGCTGACAGAGATCCTCTGCCAGTTCAATTGAGGCTGATCTAGGCCAATATCTGTAGCGCATGACAAGGATGTGTGGCAGGAGTCTTTTCATGGGGATCTGTAAAAACAGTACAGAGCCTGCTGGTGCCTAAGTTGAGCTGCAGAGTATCTTGTTGTACACACCCCAGTAGCCTTAATATTCAATGACGTGTGTGAATAAAATCACTGCACCACTATTGAGAACAATAAGAAAACAAAATCATCAACTTACATGGGTTGGCCTGACAGACAAATCTATTGAGTAGGCCACAATCTCCATCATCCCACTTGAAGTTTTTGTTGCCATCTATAGCCACACAGTTCTCATTCCCTCCTCCATTGTTAGGCAAGACGTCCCAGTTTGTAAAGTTGGTCTATAAAATAATTAATTCATATTATTGTTTTATTTTCAGCTTGAATTAGTCTGTTCAGAAAACAATGCACAAGCCATCCTACAAAAAAAGCACAATTTTAATGTAAATCATGTTTTGTCTAAATCTTTGTGAGGGTTCCAGGGCACCATTGGCCTGGGGGGAGGGGTGGGGGTGGGGGGGGGGGGGTAGACCTACTGCCCCCACTAACAAGCATGTCATAAAAGGCATCTAACTAGGGGTGTTTTCTTTGAAGTCAGAGACATCTTGATTATTCTTTTTTTCCCTCTCTGTCTTCAGTATTAGAACTCTGTGCTGGCTGCTGAGGATGAGGACACAGCACACATGGGAATGTCCCGAGTGCTGTGATGTCAATTCTTGACTCAACTTAACTCAGCTCAACTCCTCTCTGTCTGCAATGTTATCATTCGTCTATAAAATCAACAATCAGCCAACCAAATGATAGAATCTTACCTGGACAGTTTCATTCAGCCAAACAAACTTCCCTTCATTAGCTCTGTCATTGAGGCCAATCCAGTAGATACTTTTCTGTGCATAAATAAGACCTGAAATTAAACCCAAAAAAAGGTTTGACCAAGACAAATTTTTTCTGCGAAAAACATCCCACAAATCTGGTTTTATTTATAAACAATAGTATACGCACTGTTCACCAATGAAGTCATCATCAAGTGCCTTGCCAACTGGCGTGGACGAGCATGCCTCTCCACAGTCTGGGATCTGCAACTGTGTGTATCAGTTCGTGTGTTGACACCCCTCCATGCCATGACAAAAGACTCAAGAATCTTCTCACGCTGCCTTCCTCTGTCTCTCTTTCCACAGATCTTTTAAGTGGTCACAACATTTTCAATCATTCCTCTTCTCATAACGTGACCAAAAAATAGTGACTGTCTCTTTGTAATGTTTGTGAATAGTTGTCTTCGAGAATTCCCCTCACTCAAAACATCTGTGTTGCTCTTCTTAGCTGTCCAAGGAATTCTAAGGATTCTTCTGTAAAACCACATTACAATGGGGCAATCAGAACCCAATGAAGATATGTGTAAACCAACTACTTGACACCCTTATTGCAGTACTTCACTTTTAACTTTCAGCCAGACTAAAACAACTATAGTACTCACTGTTGATATAAGTGTTTATATAAGAATTTACAATCTTGGCAAGATGTCCACTAAACCGTTCGCATACAGCCTCAGCATCTGTCCATGATTTAGGTGTGCTGAACAGCCTCACGCAGGTATTTAGCTCTGGGAAGCTGATAAAACCTACAGGGCAGTTTAAAGGACCTGGAAACAAGATGACAACTTATAAGATAAAATCATTATTAACTCTTTCAATCATTGCAGTTGTTGTGTCAATACTTTCTATACTACAATCTTCTTCTTCTTCTTCTGTGTTCATCCAAAAATGTAATTGCCTTGTGTCCGTTTACAGCATGGCTGCGATATTTGCACCTTTTGGCCATCACATCCGACTTCTACAGGCATTTGTTGACCGGGTTAGCCTTCCCGGTATATACTACAATCGGAGTTCTGCCTGAGTTTTTAAAAATAATAATGCGACAGAATGAGCTGAAGTAACAGTTGGGATGCACTGGATAAGCATAAGTTTGGGACAGAAGATGTTAAAAAATCTGTACAATATGCAGAGCACTCACTACATGTATGATGAGCTATCGAGTACTGAAAGATTTAACTGCAGCTGACACAATAAACAGGAATGTTGCATTCTTATATGGGAGGTGCAGGTTTGAATCTTCTGTAAGGTTATGGGTTTTTCTGTCTGTGACAAAAAATCAATCTTCTTCTTCTTACCGGCTGTGTACTCCGGTGGAAAGTTTTAGTTATTCATTTCTGGTCTTTGATCTTGTTCCAGAACATCAATGTTGCTTGCATATCAAGTTTACAAATCTAGCATATTTGTATGCAGACTGTTGATTGCTTGCCTCTCAGGCAGACGATCTCCAGCTTTGAAGAAAACCCTTAATTATTTGACTCTGATGACATGCTTGTTAGGAAGGCAGTCTACTCTTGTTTTCCCAAGAATGGGGCCCTGGAACTCACATGGGAGGAAAAATCCATTTCAACCTACACAGTCCATGGCCACTGCACCAGCCATGCAGCCCTAAATCCTAATGTTCAAAGACCCAACCCTGTCAACACTGCAAAAGTGGTAAATACAGGCAGTAAAGACAGTTTATATAACTCTGAAGTACTCAGTTTGATTCAGATGGCGGCGATTTGACAGTAGAGAGTAGTTCTGCATTGAATTCAACAATAGTACTGATACTGAGTAATTACTTACACAATGTTGTAACTGCATATGATGAAATGTTTACATGATGACGCCTGTGAATACAAGGCAGCAGAGAGAACAAAACGAGGCCAGGATATTCAGGTGTGTGGGTAATAAGCAGGCTGATAGATTGGCTGCTACTGTTCCTCTGGGTGGTGAGCTAGGGGAGGTGGGCAGAGGACAGGGTCTGGAAGATATTCCACACTGAGAGGAAAGCACTGGTGGACTTTTAATCAGGATGCAACTGGTACTGATAGCATTTAGTTTTGGCTATCTACTCAGGAAGGAGGGAAGCACATTTAGGAATGGCCTGAGAGCAGGGCTGTCAACTCTTAATTCATTCAGAAGGAGACATGAGAAGAAGAATAGGAGGCATGTTAATAAAACAGAGAAAAAAATAGAGCAAGAAGAGTAGAATTACAAACATAATAATGACATACCCACATGTTCATGCATATGAGCATGTGACATAAGCAAAAATGAAAGAGGGGGGGGCGGGGGCAAAGAAAATAGAAAGAAGATGAAGTGAAAAAAAAGAAGAGAAGGAGATGCCACAGCATTGCTTACTCTTTGTTGTAACTACAAGTGGTGCTGCATCTGAGTCCCTCTGGCAAACAAATGAATTCAACTGATTACATGATGTGGTCACAAACCATTTCATATTGGTGGATCCTGGTTAAAGATGAAGGAAACAAATAATTTACAGCCAACACTGAATTTATTTGTACAAATAGATGCATTTATTTTCCACGTGAATATACTTATGATACACATAAAAATAGTGAATGTACAATCTGTAAATTTGATTGTACACATAGATATACAGTAGAACCTCGCTTAACGAGCAACTCTCTTAACGAGTAATTCGCATAACGAGCAAAACAAATTGTAAAAAAATGACTTGCTTAACAAGCGACGTTTCGCATAACGAGTGGCGAGGAGAGGGAAGTCCCGGATTGTGCGCATGTTACATCAGTCTGTGTTTAGCACTCGTTCCAGTATCATCGTAGTGTCGCTTGTGATCACACATTTTCTCAAACTTGTGTTCTATTGTGATAAATGTACATGAATCCTCTAAGCCTACAAGATGACCTCCCTGAAGAATTTAAGTTATTCAAGATCCAGTTTCTGCCTCCCGACACCACTCCGTTACTCCAGCCCATGGACCAGAAAGTTATTTCTAACTTCAAGAAGCTCTGGCGAAATAAGAGAAATGCTGAAAACATGGGAAAGTGTTGCATCTTACAATGAGAAGCATCACCCTGATAAGGAAGTGGCTATGCGTGCTGCAAATTTATTTAATGATAATGCTGTGTCGCATTTTTGCCTTATTTTGAAGAGTCGGCAAAAACAAATGTCTCTGGACATCTTTGTAGTTTTAAAAAAAAAATTATTAGCTATGTATCATAATTATTTCGCCTTTTTTTTTTTTTTTTTTGCAAATCAAATTCGCATTCTAGGTGGGTTTGTTGCGCGTTTGAAGAAAAGATGATGATTCACTCTCCTCAACCATATGTATATAATTTTCTTTGAATAAACGTTATACATAGCATTTTGTGAGTATTTTTTTTTCGACATGGAACGCATTATCGTATTTTATATTAATTTATATGAGAAAAATTGTTTCGCATATCGAGTGTTTCGCTTAACGAGTATGATTCTGGAACGAATTATGCTCGTTAAGCGAGGTTCCACTGTATTAACTGTATATCATCTGTAATAACTGCCCTTTTGTGTCTCCTCTACACTGGCTATCTATGGTGCAGAGTTAACACTGGCTCTGATATCTAGAGGGTTACAACTCAATCAAGCAGACATGATCCTCTTCATGGTCACACAACGTCTAACATCGGTTAACACCAGCGGCACATTTCACGAGTTTATTTACACGTTAGCTCAATACACAAATCACAGGTGAATCCACTTACAGCATTCGGACAATAGACGTTGACATATTCACAGCTGGCTTTGACAATCAAACAGGGTACCATCACAGCTGGCTTTCTCGATCATTCATTCCTCGCCGATTCAGATCCACATGCTCTAGTCATTCTCCATTCATCTTCACAGCTTCATTTTCCATCCTTTCTCTCTGGGGCCCAGTCACCGAATCCCCGCCTGATTCTCAATCCCCCAGATCTCCTCATTCACACGTGACACACTCTTTCCTGTCGTTTCACCATATCTCCGTGAAACCCATGCTCTCAGGGACTTCCCCTGTTATGCCAATCATCCCCTGACATTATCCCTATTTATAACATCATTACATCATCATCAAACAGCAGATTCATTACAGAGCGTCGCTCTCATCCAAGCATGGATGAAAGTCTGTCTCTAGCTAATTTTCCAGCTCTGTGTGTTTTCATAGCAAATGCATCTTCAATGTCCTTTTATCTTTTATCTGTCTTCACGGCGATCGGCCACTGCCTCGTTTTCCAGAAACTTTACCTTCCATTACTATTGTTTCTAGGCCGCCATGATGTTTAACGAGACTAAACTGCCTCAGCATTCAGGCCAGGATGCTGTTTATGAGCCAGTTTTCTTTGATGGACATCATGTAGGATGTCAATGTTTTTCTACTTCTTGGCCTACCGTATTCTAAAATTATTTCAGTAACACTCAGTGTACACATAGATAGAATTAAGGTATTGCACAGAAACTTTTTTCAGGAGCTGTGATAGAGTAATGGCTAGATGCACACCAGCTAGCCCAAAGATCCTGAGTTTGAATCTTTATAATTTAAAAAAAAAAATTTAAAAACTTTTTTCACATTTCTATAAAGGGCACCATAAATGTCCTGGACTGTAACGGGCTTGTGCTATGTTGATTATATTACCTATTAAGTGCCAATAGGTAAAACAACAGGTCTAGCATCATAGGCTGCCAGTGACACTGGCATGACAACAGTTCTGTGCTTGTCTTAAAAATTCAAGTATACTTTGGGTTTTCAATAACAAGTGAAGACAGCTGCACAGAAGTCAAAACATGCTCAAACAAAAACCCAAGTTTATATCCTTAACTCTCCTAGTGGGTGTAGTGAGATCCCATGGTTGGTAAAACAAGAACAGACCTACTGCCTCCCCAAAAGCAAACGTCGATGAATTGGAAGCTCCCGATAAGTCGGAGTGTATCTTCCTAAGAGGCAAGAAACCAACAGTCTGCATACAAATGAGTCAGATCTGTAAAACGAATGTACACACAACACAGGTTCTGGAACAGAAGTGGATGAACAACCAGAACTTTCTGCCAGAGTTTACAGCCAGTGACTGTGAAGAAGTGGAGAAGAAGATATTATCCCCAACTGAAGTCAAGTGAAACAGTGATACTTGCTGCATAAATCCTTTAAAAAGGCAACTAAATAACTGTTTGCTAAAATCTAATGTTTTGGGTTGAAAAGTGTAGATATCACAGCCTAGCTGTAAATGACAAGACAAAATGCTAACATCCTTATAAGGGTGACTGCAGAATGACTGACTGACTGACTTTCTACCCCACCAGGACATTACACAAGCGATAAACACCCGATGACACAAAGTGCCACCATGTGGATGAGGATCACCAGGAGAGGTCCCAGAAACCGTGTTCAGACAATTGGCCATATTGATGGCCTGCCTATATTGCAGCCCCTGGCAAAAGCCAGAGTGGGGCTTCAAATAACAAAAAATTACGTCCTCAAAAGGACGTAAAGAATATAGCAATTTTGTACAGCTAAAACTGCAGAATAAGAAGATTACATTTAAATAGTTATACTAACAATTTTTTTAATTGTATTTATTGAATATATAAATAAAGGCTCTGACTATAAGACAAGATAAAGTGATCTGACAAACTGATGCATACATAATAGAGATGATAACAAGAATCTGTAAATGTCTTTTTTACCAGCACTGATGAAGACACAATCGGTCGTGTTAGGATTGTTGGTGACATTAGGGTTTGCAAAGTTCTTATATGTCCCCAGAACTGGTCCATTTATCCACCTCCAAGGCCCGCCAGTTCCATTGTTATCTGAGGAGCAGAAGAGATACAGAGGTAACATCACATGTTAGTCATATTTAATATTTAATTAAGAATCCACATCACCTCATTCTAGACATTCCCACAAGCACTCTATCCACACCTTCAGCAGCAAGTGCAGAGTTCCAATTCCAGTAACAGTCTTAATTGTACATCCATCTCATGTTCGCCTGAGTGTCGAACGTCAGCCAGATCCCTTGCTCACTCCTCGAAGAACCATTCTCCTCAGACCATGATGGTTCATCTGTGCCTCCCCCCTATTGAGTCACCCCCCAAAGGGCCCTTACATAACGTCTAGCGTGTCATGCATCACTTCACCGCCAAGCTAATCTATCTGCCTGTTCATTTCAGAACACACTGGCATAACCTGCAGAAAATATCCAAAGGACCCCAACTACCCATACTAAAGAAGCGATGCTTGCCACTATGCACAGTGCATACATGTTGTCCCCTTTCTTCACATGCTCTGTGAGTCAGTTACAACAGATTAGTAATAAGTAAACAAATTGGATTGATTCATGGACAAGTATCAATTGCAATTTAATGTGGTAACATAATAGTAGAAAGAGAACTGGTTACCCACATCAGAAAACTGGCCTAATTTATTATTTTTGTGACTGTATCAGACAGCAATTGGTGACTGCCTGTGCTAATGGGCATGGTACATGATAACTTTGTTAGTTTGAAGTTTATTTTATTTTCAAATTTTTGGTCACTGTACTAAGCACATATTTATTCTTCTTCTTCTCATCCACAACTTCACATTATCTCGTCATCCCTTTGCGGGATGCAGTTTTTCGTTATTTGAAGCCCTACTCTGGCTTTTGCCAAAGGCTGCAATATAGCCCGGCCATAAATATGGTTTAATGGCTGAACGCGGTTTCTGGGACCGCTCCACGGGTGATTCTCATCCACATGGTTGCACTTTGTGTCATCGGGTGTTTATCGCTTGTGTGATGTCCTGGTGGGGTAAAAGAAGATAGATAGATCCACCACTAATCTCAGCGAAGTGTTGGGGAGGGAAATCGGAAATGTAAAGATCTTCAGTGTACACTTTCTAAAACATTGTATAAGCTGGTCTTCATTTTTTGTTTAATGTAGTTTTTGATGCCACTGTGCAGTAATTTGCTTTAACTCCAGCGGAAAATTTTTTCTCACCCATTTTTGGTCTGTGGCTCAAGAACTTGAGTTTCACACATGTTTATTATTTCTTCAACATGGCTCTCTGTTGTCAGAGTATTCTAATCACACCTGTCAGTAATAAATATTGGATCTAACACAACTGTAACATTTTGATGGAATAAAAATTGCTTTGAAAATCATAAATCTGGATGGGGGTGTGTGTGGGGGGGGGGGGGGGGGGAGCATACACACACAGACAAACATCACCTACCTGTTAAGCCAATCCAGAAAGTTGTAGGGTGGGTGCTTGACTTTACAGCATCCATCAGTGCTTGCTTCAATACAGTGTGTACCGAGCTCCTGCAGTACAAATGCTGAATCAACATAACATCCTTATACTGTAAAATTATATACTTAATATCAGAACTTCAAGATATGTGCTGGGATGGGGTGGAGGGGGAGGACCCCTCAACCTCCTTACAAATGTTAAAGAAGAGTGCATTTATGACGCCTAACATTCCCCCCCCCCCTCCCCCTTTACCACCTCCACCACCTTTTTCCCCCACTTTTCTATTCCTCCAGGTTATGTCATCTCTGATGGGATAAACTGAGATCCCTGAAGTTAAACAGCGCATGAGATGATGATGGTAATGACGATAGGGAGGATGATAATGATGATGAGCAGGGCTTGGTTGGCAGTACACAATGGTATGTAGTACCGGATGACTGTTTTATGCATCTTTTAGCCACACTCTAATGAACGCTTTATGGTGATTATCGACACATTTTTAGACACTTTGTAATTAGCACGGCACCTTTTCTTATATAGGAAAAAAGTCTTGATGATGATGATGATGTTCATCACAACCAAATCTGTTAACTAGTTATGCCTGCCACTATGCTGTTGATTTGATTGATATGCCGACTGTGATGTTACAATGCGAACTGTTTTAATTAACAAACTATGCTGGTGAAAGAAACTTACGAGGTATCTCTTGCCAGATACCCTCCTTGGGCTTGGCAAAATATGGCTGCTGACCCAAAGGGTACTCGCTGGGAAGAATAAATCTTATAGCAAGTCTGAATGGGATTGCCATTTGTGTCGTTTGTAGCTACACTTAGCCAGTCCCCAGGACATGCCGCGACTGTGGAATAGACGATAATACACCTTACTGTTTTGACTTGACATTGTAATAGTAATAGAAATTGATAATAATAATAATAACTAATAATAATATGTGATTGGCAAAAAATAAAACAGAACGTTTATATATGGGAGGAAGGGGCTGGGGGTGTCGGATTCTGCTTCCAGATATGATTGGGGCCTTAAGGGTCTTAAGTTTCGTTTAATTGGGTTTATTATTACGTAATGAGTAAAAGGCAATAATGCTAGACGGCATACTCTGTTTGAGCAAGTGGGGAGAGGTTGTGGTTGTGTCAGGGAAGATGGCAAAATGCATGAAGCAGTCACCTAACAAGGATTTTTCAATAACCAAAAGCTGCGATTTTTCATTCTTTCGTCTGAATAAAAAAGACAAACGATAGATCACACAATTTATTGCCTGGCATATGTAAGTTATGTATGTACGTTGTACCCCACCAGGATATCACACAAGCGAAAAACAAACGATGATACAAAGTGCCACCATGCGGATGAGGATCACCCGTGGAGAGGTCCCAGAAACCCCGTTCAACTCTTCGGCCATATTTAAGGCCCGTCTATATTTAGAGCCCCCGGCAAAAGCCAGGGTGGATGGTCTGGCATATTTAGCTGTAACTCGTGCATACTGCTGTAGCAATTACATAAATGAAGCAAATAAATATTTAATCTGAGGCCGACCCTTTCAAATTTGTGTAATTACCTATCAATAAACAGTTTTTAAAATGTGTGCAAGTGAAGCCCGCGTTTAAGGTTAATGTTTTGTTTATTTGAAACGTGTACATGATTTAAGTTCTATTCTGCAGTTATAAATCGTATCTTAAAGTATAGGGGAAAACATTTAGACTTCTTTTTCCGTAATAAATGTTTAAAACGTAAGGTACGATACTTAAGAAACATTATTAGTACTGGCCTCTACTAAGAGGTCTGAAAATGTTATCAAGGTCAGATTTACTTACATAAAGGGGTCTTTTTTATTAACATGGATGGGGTAAAAACTTCGGCGTCCGTGGCTAAGGCGCTGCGGGCAGCGTGGATTTTAATCGTAGTATGGGACGTCGCAGGTCCACCCAGCCTCAAATGGGTACCAGGATGGCTGTCCTGAGGAAGTAAAGACGGCCGGCGTAATGCTGACGACATTACCCACCTAGTGCCGATTGGTCTGAAAAATATGGCTGCTCTTCCCATATGCCCAATGCGCCTAAAGGCGTGAAAGAGGATCTTTACTTTACTTATGGGGTAAAAACAGAGTATTTGTACAACTCCGGTATAGGCTTATCTGGGTTTTTTTTTTTTCTGGCCTACCCTTCAACCATATTAGGCCGGATATTGCAGAGTATGTGCCTTAGGCGTTGCGAACTCGCTTAGTAATGCCGGGGTGTCAGGTTTGATCCCAGCTGCGGGTCTTTCGCATTGCGCTGGTTTTGAAGGTGGTAAAAAGAAGCCTACCGTCCAGAAAGCAAAGGAAAACTACTAAACCGAAACATTCCTTGCAAAACCACAACAGCCAAGAAATGCTGAAGTTGGTTCTGCAACGTCCTGAAAGGATATGCAACTAACTAACTGTATATAGTGTTAGCTTCAAATCTGTATATACCAATCAGCACGTTGTGATGGGGATCAAGTGAATTCAAGACTGTCGGCAAAACACAAATGTGTGATTAACATTGTGTCCGCACAAACCACAGTTGCCACGTGAACTAAGTGAGGTAATGATAAAGTGAAGGTAAAGTCGGAGAGAACCAGCGTCTTGAACCACGGCATAAAGTGCATCTGCACAGTACGGACAGCTGATAAGAAAACGCCTGTGTCGCCGTCCGCCGTAACTCTGTAGCTACAGCGACGTTTCCTACCATACCCCAGAGTGTCACTGTACCCATTTCCTAGAAGCTGACTGAATTCAGGGCGTCCGTCCGCACGTAATGGCCTCTGTGGCGATGCTACAGCGACGGTTCCTCCATTTACCGTAAACATAGACCTTTTCATGGTAGAATGTTTAAGTTTCCTATTCAGTAATCATGCTTATAGAATCCATAATCCAACCCCCCCCCCCCCCCCAACCTCCCCTATATAAACGTTATCCTTTATGCATTTGTTTATAGATTATTTATTGTTGCCATTCACATATTATTATTAGTTATTATTATTATCAATTTCTATTACTGTTACGATGTCAGGTGAAGTTGGCAAAATATCAAACTGCACCCGTTTTGGGGGTAATCTGTGCGAGAAACTACGTAGCGCGTATTTTGAAAAGTAAAGTGGATTATCATGTGCTGCCAAAATGCTTTATTAGTCAGACAAAGATCAAAGAAAATTCGCCCGTGTAAGAAAATAGAAGCATCTGTGCAGTTTTAAATTATGAAATTGTAAGGACACAGAAATCTAAGACCACATACAACAACTTGTGTACATGAGTTCTCAAAATATTGTCTGAGGGTACAACTTTTGCAACGAACTTACATCAGTTATGGGGATAGGGACAGCACTGAAGTGGCGACATTTGTAAGTGTAAATTAATTGATTGTTCTAACAGAACTAGATGGTTGTAAAAGAACGGGTCGCTATTTGTGATTCCTTGCAACCTGTGCACTGTCGGGGGGCATGTCAGCTTTCGCGGACATCCAGAGAGTCTCAGAAGTCACAGTGGAGTGTTATACCACATGACTGACTTCCACAGAGCGACCACAATAGCAGATGCATTATGAAAATAAAGCAGGGGACAGCAACCAGTGGCAGAGATCATATAATCCGGCAACATAAAGAGCACTAAACTAGCCAGTCAGCACTAAGATGGCGGCCCTACAAACAACACGCAGAAAACCTAGAAAACAGACACTACACGGGGGTTACAACACTAAGAAACACACAATGAGCAGGAACAGGAGCCAAAATTATAACTAATGTCATCTAGGAGAGGTTAGCTTCCTAGGTAGCGGTTAAGCTTGGCCAATTCAAATTAAGGATGATGATGATGATGAAGTGTTATATACGGCTTAGAAGTCCAAATCATTACGCTAACGACATGATGGGAAGTGACGGAAAGACCAGGGAGGGGGAGACAACCTAACTAGTAGCCAGCAGTAAGACAACATGTCATGGTAGCTTAGACGACCTTGTACACATGTGCTCTGACCCTGTCCCCCGTCTCTTGAACACTGACACAGCACTAATGAATTGTGTCATATATCACGCTAATCACATTCATTTCACTAAACATTTAATTGTATTCATATCAAATCGACATGAGAATGCAAATCAGACCCTCGATTGGAATTCGAACACATAACCAACTAGTCGGGAGGCAACAGTTCTAATCATTTTGCTACCACAGCTCGACGGGTGATATCAATGCTAAGATTTGTGCTGACAGACGTGGTGGAACATCATGCTTCTTTTCATCTCATTCTACATGTTTCAATTCTAGTGCCGACACCTAACTAGAAATATTAAAAAGTAACACAGGCGGCGATTTTTCTAATGTTTAGGTTAGTTCTCAACCAGTGCCTAAATTTCCCAGGGGATTCGTGCCCTCTCCTGTAAGTAGTAAGTAAGTAAGTTGTACCCCACCAGGACATCACGCAGAGCAATAAAACACCCGGTGACACAAAGTGCCACCATGCGGATGAGGATCACCCGTGGAGAGGTCCCAGAAGCTGCGTTTAGCCGTCATGCTATATTGCGGCCCCGGCAAAAACCGGGGTGGAGCTTCAAATTAACGAAAAAATTGGGTCCTAAATGGGGAGAACCACCTCATTTTAGTGTGCCTACTTTATACCTTTCCCGGTGGAAATTTGCTAAGTTTGATGTGGCGCTCCCCCCCCCCCCCTCTCCCCAGCAGACGACACTTTGTCAACCTGCTGCAACTAGCTCCAAAATATTGTAGCGCGAAAGCGCAAGATATCAATGTGAAGCGGTATCTCCGCTTCTACAGCTACAAGAACAAAATATAGACACTCTGTTTAAATGCAGAGCCAGATTTCGCCTGCAGTTATAAAAAAAGGAAGAAGAAAAACATTAACATAGGCGTCTCGTTTAACGTTCATACATTAAGCAAAAGGTTTCATTTACTCAACTTTATAAGAACTTTCATGTATGGCTACGTTGTGACAATTATGTATGCAATGTTGGTAGTTCAGAATAATTTGACTATTACGGTTAATTTTGAAATGTTTTCTTTAAAATGAAATTTCATTGCATGGAAATTGTGCAGTTGTTTAGATATCTCTTTACATTACACTCCCTTATTATCTACCCCCTCTTCCTCAGCTCCGTAATACTACTTCTAATCACAATTAATTTGTAGGACATCCGGTACAGTAGACCTACAAAGTTCAGCTACAGAAAATTATTCTGATAACGGCTCTGCAAGTTAGAAAGGCGCAAGTCAGAATGCTTCGAAACTACCGTCAGTTATGGCGGATCGGGACCAAACAAAGTTCTACAAATAACCTAATTTCTGGCTGATCATGATAAAACAATGTTCTACAAATAACCTCTTTTTCTGACAGTCCGGGATAAAACAAAGTTCTACAAACAAGCAACTATGTATGATGAATAAAATAGGTTGCCTATCCTTCAGAGATCATATCAAAATAATGTACTTAATTAAAACATAATATTAACAAGACTTGTGTCAACTTTATTGATTAAACAGTTAAAAAAAAATTGAAAGGTTTGTGAAAGATGTTATGCGTTGAATGAGTATGTAATTATGGAAAATAATATTTAAACTTACATGCCAAATTAAAGAACACAGCACTTAAACAAATGGAAATCCACATTTCAAATCTGACACAAGTGATTCAAACCTTCCTCTGAGGAACCCGGCGCGCAGATAACGTGCAATTATTTTGTAGCTACCATAATGAGATAGAATGTACTGTGGTCTATAACAGTTATTGGTTATCGTTTGATTGAAAACAACAGATAGGCATTACACATATGATAGCTAACGTAAAAGTTGAAAACAGACGAATATTCTTTTATCATTCAAGGCTAAAAAAAAAAAAAATGTTTCAATGTGTCACTAAAAATGCTTCACGAAGAGACTGGAAATTCAATTGTACGGATATGATCAACATTTCTATCCAGAACCTTATTACCGGGTTTTGGAAGGGGTAAGAGGCAGATCAAGAACGACCCGGCTACAGAATATGGCTGACTGGACAGTGCTGAGACATGAAAGCATCAGGCTTGTATGGCCGACAGAGGTTCATTGTTCATTTAAAGATCATCTGCATAGCACATCAGACATGACCATAAGTACCCATGTCTCCTTCTGAGTATGTCTCCAAGTGTTTTTAGGCTAACAAAATTTTAACACTTGGTCATTGTTCATTGTTCCTTTAAATATCAACTTCATGGCATTGATGATGTCTCTCCTTTCCAAAGATGGCCCATTCATGATAGTCGCACTGCCAGCCATGATGTCTGCTCTTTCATTACCTTTCACACCAAGAGTACCATGTACTTTCCTCCCATAACAACCCTGGAAGGGGAGTTGCCGTGGCGTAGCGGCTAGACGCTCGCGTGCGGATCGGAAGGTCGTGAGTTCGCTCCTTGGCAAAGCCGGACTTTTTTTGGGTTCAAAATTGACCTTGACTCTCAGGTCGACCCAGGCTTGAATTGGTACCGGGTGCAGTCCCGGAAAGTAAAGGCGGTCGGCGTGATGCTGACCAAATTACCCATATTTTGCCAATTGTTCTATAAAAAAAAGGTCTGGCCCTATATGCCCTAGGGCGCGGAAAAAGGACCTTTACTTTACTTACTATCATGTATATGCCAAGAATTGTGGTTGGTGGTCATAACATAAACAACCTGCGTTATGTTGATGACACCGTCTTGACAGTGACATGTCAGAAAGAACTACAGGAATTGGTAGATACGGTGGTGGTAGAAAATGATAAAATATTTCGTGTTTCTTCGTGTCTAATCTTTGTGTCGTGTCCTAGGATGAGACTGTTTATCCCCTCCTGTATGATGGTTTCATCTACCTACGACCGAAGTGTCGCTCTTGTTCGATAATTCAACAGGATACATTTAAAATTCCCTAAGTCAGCCTTGTAAAAAGTTGTAATTATGGCACTCCAGACTGGTACACAAGAAGTTATCCCAAAATTACCAGCTGGTCTAGGCTGATAAAGGTGGCTGGTGCTTCGAAGGGTCACAATAAATGTCAACCACATTAAGTAAACTAGATTTGAACCCACGGCTTTTGTTCTGGTACTAAGCAACGGTGCGCATTACCGGTGCTTTAATTAGGCATTTTTTCGTGCTACTATAATAAACATTTTGTGGTGTGTTAAAAATTTCGTATCCTTTACAGGACGTTGCAGAACCAACCCCAGCATTTTTGGGCTGTTGTTTTTCTAGGCAAAGTTTACTTTCAATAATTTGTCATTGCTTTTGACCGGTCTGCTTTCGGTACCACTGTCGAAACCAACGCAAGGCGCATCGTCCTCAGCTGGGATCAAACCCAGCACCCGGTCATTACAAAGCTTGTTCGCAACGCCTGAGCCAAAGACGCCGACTTGTATGTACCGGCGACTTTTACTGTGTACCGGCGTTTTTTTAGACACTGAGTATATATATATATATGCAAGTTTGATTAGAGAAAACAAAGTCATATTTTAAAAAGAAAGAAAAAAAAAGCGTAACCTCAAAAACAAAAAATTCTTTTCGTCCCTGCTCAAACTAGTGTATTTTTTTCGTTAGGCGAACAAAGCTTCGAAATTGACTGCGTATTTAAACGACCTTATGGATTCCCTGATTATCAATATTTGTTTTACTACTATAACAAAAAGTAAAGTGACTTCTCATCTTCCAGTTCAATGTGTTTAAAATATGACTACTTCAATTATTAGAGCGTAGTTCACAGCGCCCGAAAGCGGCGGTGATAAGTACTACATACATCGACTTCACACCTTGATGGTACACAGTGGGTCGTATCAGTCAGTATGTACTCTACATTATCAGTTGTCCTGTTATCTTGTATTATCTTCATGGAGCAAGTTATCGGTCAGTACACACTAAATATGAAGATCGTTCAAGCACGAAAAACGTGTACATCCCCAGCGGTTTGGTCATTTGGGATACAATTTTGACTTAAAACTTTAAATGCATACCCAACCCTGTCCGGACCGGGAGCCGCCGTCGAGTGGGCCTGACCATCCGAAGGTCCTGAGTTCAGGTCCTGGCTGAGCAGACTTTAACAAAAAATGACCTTGGCTCCTAGGTCCCCACAGTCCATATGGGTACCAGATAAAGTCATGGGAAATAAAGGCGACCGGTGTGATGTTGACCATATCATCCACCGAATACCGATTAGTCTATAAAATATAGGTATAGCCCTATATGCCCAGTATGTATGAAGGCATTAAAAGGGTCCAATTGTGTGCGGAATAGGGCCTTCAGGTTACTTTATAACCGTCAGGAGCTCCGATATAACCTCACGGTTAAAATGTGTTTATGGGATTTGTACCTGGGGGATTCTCATCCGAACGGTGTTCATTTTCCGGGTATTAATCGCTCAGTGCAAGGTCCTAATGGAGTTCAAATTCATTCGTTCATTCAGTTAAAACTCTTGATGCTGTCAGTTTCAAGGAACGCCATGTCTGCTAGTGTACTAAACGAATCAACTGCACTCTGGGCGTTTCCACACATGTGTCCCCTCCGTCAGAAACCAAACGAGTTGCCATACTGGTGATGCCAGTTACAACCAGTTTAAAAAGTTCGCCCATCTTCTCCCCTCCATGTTCAAAACCGCTCAAATCTGCTGCTCACTCCCCGCTGAATTAGTCTCTAGATGTGTGTAGATGCTTCGCGTTCTTAGCTCTCAATTGTGAACCCAGACTTTGACGTTGTGTGCTCTTGTACTGTTTACGTGTGGCTATTACATATAATCATTATATCGTATGACAGAAGAACAATGTCTGCTTTCTTACGTCGTAACAATTTAAAAAAAAAATGCATGCAATGGAAATTTGTCAAGTATTAGCTTTGTAAAAATGGGACCACATAGGATAGGATATCAAAATGTTTAATCAACCACCTCCACACTGAACTGCAAGTTACTTTGTAACCGTAAAGGGAGAGGGGCATAATATAGCTGTATTATATGTCTGAATGGGATTTAAAAGTGTTTGATTCTCACCTTTGAGGTGTTAATATACGGACAACAATCCTGGAGAGATCAACGAACTTCCACAAACACCAGCAGAAAGAATATCGCAGCAGTAGTAATCAGCAAAGTGGCCTGCGAGATGCTGACAACATCACCCACCAAGTGCCGATCATTCTAATAAAATTTAGGTTTAGCCCTATATGCCTATAAAACGTGAAAAATGCTCCTTTACTTTGCTTAGTCCTCGTCAAAGACAACTCGGTGAGAGGGAGGAGAATACGTTTAAAAAGAAAGGTAGATACACTTACCTAAGATAATGATAATTCTACTCCAGAGAATGAATCCTTCGTCGAAGAAAATGTCGAGTATTTTCTTTTTCGTGTGAAATGAGAGGTTGCTGAGTCACTTCTTGTGAGTTCAGTTCGGGGAAGACTTGGCTATTCAAGGCCCCAGGTATGAAAATATCAATAAGCTCCTTTATGTCAACTCCGTGGCATTGTCCGGGGCACTATGGGTTTACTCTCTCTCTCCCTCTTTCTCTCTATCTATCTCTCTCTATCTCACATTAGCCAGACATAATAAAGCAAGAAGCTTAAGATGACTACTCATACATGACTTTTTCTGACACGGAACGCAGAAACCAGTCAGGTCTTCAATCTCCCAGGTGACCACAACTGTCCACTCACACATGTGGACTATGGAAACCTGCACACAACAGAAGTCACGCTGTAACCGCCTTGGTTGTTCTCAGGTAGTTGTCCTCGGCTATCGTGGTAAAAAGCAGGTGAGTTGTGTTTCTATGTCTGAGTCGACGTTTTACTGCTTGTTAAAATTGGACACTAGTTTGACTTGACACACACACTGGCAGCCACGGAGAAAACAGGTGTCCACCCTGCAAGTTCAACAGTAGAACCATCAGACTTGTGAGTAGATATTACTTCTGAGCATGGTCGGTCAACACACATAAACAACATTGTGAAGAGGGGAGGGGGGGGGCTCTCAAACCCTAACAAACTGTCTAGATGGGGTAAGGCCCCCGCCCCCCCCCCCAAGGCTAAGATTTGTTTAAGTACTTACTGTAACCACTACCACCACAACGACCACCACCAACACTACTATTGCTGCTGTTGATACCGTTGCTGCTGCTGCTACTTGTACAAACAAAATCTTTAAAAGAGAACTTATATACGTGGTTTCAGGGACAGCTTATCTGCTTACAAATTTGTTCTTGGGGTCCCTAATTTTAACCCCCCCCCCCCAATATATATATATATATTCAATGCTATAATATTTACACTTTTTAATTTTTCATAAATAGTTGAAAATTATTCTATGTATATTTTTTAATGGGTGGCTGAGAGAGAGAGAGAGAGAGAGAGAGAGAGAGAGATAGAGAGAGAGAACGGGGGGGGGGAGTTGGGGGTGGGGGCGGTGTCCGCAACAGTTTCTCGTCGTCAGTCCACAGGAAAAGTAAAGTTGACAAAAATTACCTACCATGTCGCTAGAAGCGACAAAAGCATGATCTTTGTTTTCGCGGTACGCAGTACTGGCACTGATAACATCTTCCCTGTCCATTTTTGCCCGGCTCTCTAGCGTAGTTGGCTAAATTGGATTGCGCAGAGACCGGGTGACAAACTCCTTGTGGTCCGGGTTCAATCC